TACTTGCTCGATCACCATCGAGTGTGTTGAAATTCAAGATGCCTATGGGCCAACTATTACGGATGAATCTGTCACCGCACTCGTTGTGTCGGGAGAAACTAGGTCGGGCGGACAAGCAGTAAACGATAGAAGAGTCGAGAAGGGCTGGAAGGCACTGGAGGTTTATGAAGTCGACGTGCTCGATGCGCAAGCTGGTCTCGAGGACACCCCTAAATCAGACTTTGCTTCAAAAATCAGTAGTACTGCAATAAGAAAGCAGATGGCGGATCGCGCCCGGACATCGTCACTCTAATCAAAACTTTACCTCGAGATACCTCGTTCTGCATAGATAGCCCAGCTTGGCCGGGGCTTATATTAAGGAGAAGGATGAATACAGTACCACTGTTGTCGGATATAAGGTTGTAGAGTGATATCTTCCGTGCAGAATTTCTCGACCCAATATCGAGCCTGCTGCGCCGTCACAATATGCACGTCATTTGCAGAAATACAGAGTTCATGCACAGGAATCACCATCCGACAGGGTTTATCGTCTCATCTCTTCCCGCTTCACTTTGTCTGGAACGTAGCTCTCAATATTGATTCAACGTATTAATGGCGTCTGGGTATTGATGCCCACGACTACGACCTCATAGTACCATTTCCATGATTCAACAACGCCTAGAACCCCTGCTAACGAGGGGCTTTCCAATTAGGCAACCGGATGGAACGTCCATTGGACTCTATTTCATCAAGTCGCGGAGAATTATATAATGAAAGCTGGTCCTTCAGACATCTCTCCTCGTGTGGTGCAATTGAGTCGAGTTATGCGGGGACTCTTGAATTAAGCGCCCATCATCCAATCATGTTTATCTCACAAATGCACAGGTTCACAGATGCATAGGTTCAAATGAATTCAAGCCTTTTTCCAATAATTGTGGAAGGATTTACCCACACTCAAAAGAGCAAATCAGCGTGTCTACTGGACTAGGTTTATTATCGAATGTGTATTAAATTCGACAGAAATGGTTGAGAGTTGCATTCACTTGCCTTCAGTTACATTCTACATTAACAAGCCGTTCGTTCTCAATTTTTGATCCATGTTTCGCCTTGAGACTAGGTCATGGGCATAATAAGCAAGCAAGAACCACCCTTTTAACCCTTTAACCATTGGGTCAATACATTTTTGTTTCTTTTTATCGGTCTAATTTGTCCTTCATTTATCTGACGAACCATCTAATCGTATGCATCACACTTTTTGTCCATGAAGATGTCGGAAAATTAGATAAGTTTATCTAATTTGTCTGCATCGTAGTTTATCATCTTGTCTAGACACCTACCCGTGCTAGGGCCTAAGGACCACAATCATCGTGTTCTGACCCGTAATTCGTTCGCTATACAATAATTAAGACGATCCATTACTCCGCTAACCTACGATTCGTTGTCATTCCAATGATTCCATGCAGCCATGAATGGGCGAATCCTTGTAGTAAATCTGTATCTTTTCTTGTATCAAATTATATCAATTGCACCCTCTCAATATTCATTCTTCCATACTTGATTGGTTTTCATCCAAGATCACATGATTGTATTTGCACCGAACGATCGGTAACCCACAAGCCGCTGCAGCAAGGCCATGAAATCATTCTGACCAACCAAACCCAAAACAAGCAATATATCTGCATGACAATAAAATTCTAATAAATATCTGAGGAGAGATCCATCCACACACATTTGTCCGTTGAAATATCCCTTGAGTGATCCCTCGAGACGCATCGACACGTCAGAAATCATAAAACCTGGCTGCTCGACGTTGAAATCCAATTTCATACATAGAGTGCCGGCACTCAATTCCACCCACTATGATGTAACAATCTGATATACATTCATTATTTCTAGTTATATCCTTGCATATTCTCCGAATAACCTCAAGAACACTCTGTCCCAATACGCTCGTTATGTGAGGTAAGACTGCATAGATTATATTAAATTCTGCTAACAAGTCATTCTAGAAAAAAGTGCTCTCCGTCCAGTCATCACATTTGTATTCCTCGAGATGGACGATCTGAAATCTATTGAGAGACTTCCAGATGATATCCTTTCTCGAATCTTTTTGCAATTACTTTACGAAGATTATAATGAAAGACCGCCTTCTTGGAATCCATGGACTCAATCGCCACACGTGCTCAACTTCTGCTTGACGCAGAGGAGATTTCACAGAGCATATTCCTTATGTAAATCGCGAACACCTAGATCCAAGCTTACACCTATATTCAAACTCTCGAACGAGGTTCTAGAGAACATCCTTGAATATCTGGTTCATAATTCTGGGAAATTGATTCCCATTGACCATAGAGCCTCTCTAAGTGTAGAGAGTTTTCAATCTATGCCACCACAATCCTTAGAGGATACAAATATTACTACAACTCTTGTATGGATCCTCCCATTCGTTATTAATCCCCAATTACATCTCTAACGACAAGTTTATCAGAGCCGTACATGCAGGAAGTTCTACAGTTTGTTATTAGGAAGACAGTTTGCCCGTGTCTCCATTCGATGCTCCGATGCTGGTTTCAATCGGTTACGATTCTTGGTAGAAGAGCGTCCTCATTTAGCTGAACACGTCAAGAAGTTCTCGTACATGATTCCTGTCTTTTACCATCGAGGTATCTTCTGGTCTTACCTATTATTTTGAAGAACCGCTAACCCATTTAAAGGTCTAAGTCAACTTCAGATTTTATTCGATGAGACACACGCGGCGACAGTTGATCTCGAGAGACAAGTCAATCTTAAACAAGTAAATGGCAATGCACGTCAAGTCGATAGATCTCGGCCATCGCTTAAGCAGCTTCGAACAAAGCTTGATCGCAGTCGCAAGGATGAGCTCACTATTTTTCGAGTATTATCACGAGCACGTGAACAGTCTACCATCATCAATAATAGAATAGATGTACAGAGTCTACTACGTGCCTTTCGATTGTTCAAGCATCTTCAACAAATTCGTCTCATGAGAGTTCAGGATAGAGTAGATATGGATTGGTCTTCCTTCCTCCGAGAAAGACGCTGGATCGCCTTTTCTCAAAACAATAACAATAACAACAATATCACCGACCCGATTCTATCTCTCGATCTCGACCCGCTGGAATGGACAGCCGCATGCGAACATTCTGCCCGGGCTCTCGGCTACGCATTTCTCGAGTCTGAATCTCCCGCAACACGCTTCTCATCTCGTTTCGTCAATCCGCGTATTCCATTTCTTCTCAATTCACATTCGCATAACACAATATCCACTCTGGCAAATAGACTCACTTGTTTAGAAATTCAAATACAGGAACCATCGGATGATAAAATGTATCAACTTTCAGCTCTCTTCAACACGTTCTTCACTTCGGCTCATCAGATACAGGGTCTTCATGTGGGGTTCCCGTCTAATAGACCACTTGTTCATGTACCCCTCGAAGCGGTTTTTCACAATGTCACCTGGGAAAATCTAAGATATTTAGGGTTTGGAGCATGGCATTTGGATAGTGGGGAGATTATCGGTTTGCTCAGGAGACATAAATATACGCTGAGGAGCGTGAGACTCCGAAGCGTGAAATTGAAAGAGGGGAGTAGCTGGATCGAAGTGGTGCGGATGTTAAGGAGGGAGTTGCGGGAATTGAAGTGGGTTAGCTTGAGAGGCATTGGGTATGTCGGGGGAGGCACAAATGGCATGGGTGGAATCGGAGGAGCGGGCGGAATCGGAATCGGAATGGGAGCGGGCAACCAGGGAAATAATCCCATTCTCAATAACCCCATCGATGCAGACATGGATCTCGACGACTCGAGCGGCGAGAGCGACGAGGAAGTAGATTTTGAGGATACGGCAATTGGTGATCGTACGTTGAGTCATCATAGTAGTTCGGTGCATTTACCTTCTTCTTCTTCTGCGGCTTCGGCTTCGTCGTTGAGTAAGGAGAGGGGAGGGGAGGTGGGGGAGAGAAGTGGGAGAGCGGCGCAGAGTGGGGGAGAGGCTCAGGAGGATGCGAATTGTGAGTGTGCGGATGGGTATGCGATGGGGGATTTGGGAGAGCAGGGGAGCGAGGTTGTGTTGAAGCAGCATTGGAAGTTTTGGGAGTTGTGGGCTGTGAAGAGGTGTGCGGTGCATGATGGGATGAGCTGAGGTGGGGAGAGAGGGGGAACCGGGGGGAGGGGGATCGGGGGAGGGGGTTTGTCGATGGGTTGGGTTGGGGGGTTGGGGTGGGATGGATGGATGGATTGGTTAGGGTGAATGGAATGGATCAGGATGAAAGGATGGGTGGAGGTATGTATGTATGTATCTACGCATGGAACCGGAACCGGGCTTTGGATATGGATATGGATATGGATATGGGAAATTGGGTTGGATTTTTGCATCTTTAACATCTTTAACATCTGCGCATTTTTAAATTTTTACGTTTTTACGTTTTTAAATTTCAAGTCAAGTTGAAGAAGTTTTTCATAGGGACATGTGTTGGAATGGAAGGGATGGGATGGGAAGAGATAGGATGGGATGGGATGGGGTGAGATTAATATATATATATCATACAGTATAACATATCCCGATCCCTGCCTATCCCTATCATCTTATTTATATCTTCTCATCTTCTCATCTTCTCATCTCCTCTGATCTCTATACTCGATTCAAGTATATTTCAAAAATTTATAAAGGGAGGAAGGGGGAAGGGGGGGAATGATGTGGGATTTGTCAGAAGAAAAAAAAGAAAAAGGTGTAAGCATATGTATGTATACATGTATTTCATATATTCATATATTTATACATTCATAATATTCATACATTCATACATTCATACATTCATACATTCATCCATTTTCATTCATCCATTCATTCATCTATTCATCTATTCATAATCAACATTACGCAATCTCGTGATTAAAGAAAAGGAACTCCCTCCCAATGGTATCAATAGTACTTTCCTCCTCCTCCTCAACCCTAACCATATTACCACTCCATCTCCCCCTTTCACAAAGCCAAGCCAACCTCCTCAAAACCCCTCATGATCCGTATCAGTCTCCTCATCCCCTCTACTGTGCCCCACCATCAACTCCCTCAGATGTTTTTCTTCATCACTCTCTTCCACATCCGCATCCCCATCCCCACCCACTCTATCCCCACCGATTCTCCCCTCTCCCAGCATCCCTCCCTCCCTTCTTTCCTGCCTCGCGAATTCCGCCTCCAATTCTCTCAACCCATCATCATCAGTCGCCGATTCTCCATCTCCCGAGTGCGTAGTTCTCACTTCCATATCTGTATCGATACTTCTCTCATCATGATCTTTCTCTATTATCTTCTTCTCAATAGCAAGATCATCGCCATGAACCCCCCCACCCGAACTCCCCAACGCGTCTCTCAGAATCTCCTCTCCCTGTATGAAAGCCTGCAACTCCGCACCCACAGCCACCACCAACAGATTCCAGCCTTTGCTCTCCGCTATCCTTTCCGTTTCAGCCAACTTCCCTATCACCTTCTTCATTTTTACAATTTGCATCTTGAATCCCTCGATATCACCCACTTTGCTACTCTTCATATTCTCTCTCAATTCATCCTCGAAGTTCACAACTGTCTTGACAGATTCTTCCCAGAGCTTTGCTCCATCTTCTAGTGCTTCTTTTTCCTTTTGCACCTCTAGTTTTCGGGCTTGCAAAGAATTGATCTCTTTACTCCACCATTCATCTGCCATTTCTAATGTCCGTCGTTTAGGGGGTAGTGTCATGAATCCTTCTTCATTCCCCATACTAATTGATACCATAGCCGGCGGTCTCGTCAAGAATTCCTGGACTTCTGATTCCACTTCCCTCAAAGCACCACGATAGCTAGACAATCGCGATTCTCTCTGATTAACTCTCTCATTAATCCGGTCTGCCAGCCAGCTCCGCCTGGCTTTCATTTGTAACAATCTATCTTCCGTCTCTCGGATTTCGTTTTCGACAGCCCGCTCTTCAGTCCGTAGTTCGGCTATCTCTCGATCTTCTTCGGATTTGTTTGCATGAGGAGATTGATGACTTTCTTCATTCGGTGAAGAGACTCTATTATTTGTTATGTCTGCTGAGACGAATTCGCCAATTTCTCTCTTAACCTCGTCGATTCTGATTTTCCAATCTTTTGTCTTTGCAATACACATTTCTCTCCTCTTGATTTCTTCTGTCAACAATTCATCTTCCTCAACTTTAACATCTGCCAACAGACCCATGTTCCTTAACAATCCTTTTCTGGATCCTCTTAGTCCGATCGATTTTCTTTTTGGTTGTCGAACAGGAATTGTACGCACATGAGCTCCTTCTGTACTTCTACCTCCCTGCCTATCTCTATCCCGTTGTAATGACCTTGTCGTGGGCGTGCTACTTCCACTGTGCTCTTCTCTATTACCACCTCCACCGAATCCTTGCATCAAACCCTCACTCTGCGCATCTAGCAACATTTGTAATTCCGCCTGCAAAGCTCGTTCTCTCCTTTCCAGCCCCAAAAGACTGTCATTTTGTGCCGAGCTTCCCACAGCACTCCCCACACTTTTCAATATTCCAACTCCTCTTCCTTCCCGAACCACGCTCCCTCTCAAATGAGAACTTCCGCTTCCATCTAAACTCCTTCCAATATTGCCCAACCCAGCAACACTCCCTACAATCGGCGGCGGAGGAGCAGCAAATTGTATTCTCCTTCCCTTCGCCTTCCCATTCCCTTTAAATTTACTCGCAGATCCCGATTCCGAGATTGGTCTCGGAGAAAGTGTTCTCGCACTCGCACTAGTAGGTGACCTCATATCCCTATAGAATTCTGGCGGTGGACTTGGTGTAGCTCTCGATGCTGAAGGGGAAGAGAGGTCTCGCAGACGAACATCATTATGCGGATCATATACGCTTGACAGAAGAGGATGATTTTGATCATTTGTTCCTGAAGAGTTGCTGAAGAATGAGTTACGGGAGCGGGACATTTTGTTTTCGAGATTGGAGGCCTTTCTTTTGTTGATATCTGATGTTTTGGTATGAGGATTTGTAACTTCTTTAACCGTTGAAGATTCGTCTATAGGATATCTTATAGGTTTAACATGTATTCGCTACCACTGCTGTGATGTGATGAAAGCGATTGTGAGAGCCGTAGCTACAAGCTGGCTTCGAACGGAGAAATGTAAGAGTATTAGAATGGGAGGAGCAATAGAATTGGAACAGCTACAACTACTTAGTTAAAGTTGCAGAGCACTATCTGAAATGATATGAACACATGCATAAATGTGAATCAAGCAGGATAAGCAGGATTGCCAGTTTGAATCATTGAGTATATAATATCTAGACAAGTAGCAGTGGCTTCTATCACATGCGACAGGCACAAGATGCGGAGATCAGCCTCGTTGGGGACGTGCACGAAGACGAGGCTGAAAGCAAGCAAGGCCATAATTTTCGATAATGTCGGCTCTTTTCTACAAGCAAGTTCAAGTGTGGGAATTTCAAGGAGATTGCATAAATCCAACTTATATTAGATCGTCGTGCTCGTTTGAATTTGTAAACCAAACATCGCATAGCTTTGAAGAAAGTTCAAAGGAATGGGGATAACTTGTTATCAGTATCACTCTCATCGGACTAGCCATAGATCATCATAAAAATCACATTTTCAGGCGGTAAAGCATTTGGTATTCGTCTATAAACAAGGCAGTACATTCTGTACGTTTGCACCCAATCCGTGACCTTTCGGTTTGTTTGTTCTTCATTATCATAACCATTTTAAGCATGAAAGAATGGTAAAACTAATTACGGTACGAACTCGAGAGGCCGTATAAAGCATCGAAGCTTGGTTCGATGCGAGGTGAGGTTCGGGTATATCGTTTCTATAGATGAACTAAAGTTCATGATGGTATTATTTCAAGTTGTTCCCTTGCTATTTAGATTTGCTCCAAACCAAGGTTCTCTGGCTCAGCCTTGATGACACGGAGACTAGAAACATAGATTAGCAAAGATTCGGACTGAATTTGGCATGATCAAAACTTACGTGTTGGTGTTACCCATACCACCCTTCCATCCTTGGACAACGATGACACTCTCACCTTGAGCCAATACCTTGAGCTTGAGAGCCTCAGCAATACCCCACTTGATTCTTCTGTCGACATCCTCTTGCCAGTTAACCTTGGAAAAGTCTGGCTTTTCCTCAGCAAAGTGGAAAGGATAGACACCACGATACAAGTGACCGTATCTGGATGCACTGGCATTTCGGGTAACCATGAAGATAGGGCAGACTGGTCTGTACTTGGAGAGAAGACGTGCACTGTCTCCGCTGGTGGACAAAACGATGATAGCACCTGCATTGATGTCCAAACTGGCACGGACTGCTGCCATGGCACATGATTCGACAACGCTGACTGGTCGTTCGGTAAGGTTGCAAAGCTCCTCGAAGTGAGAAACGTATGCGATGGAATTCTCAGCCTTCAAACAAGTTTCGTGCATCTCGGTAACAGCCTCGTTAGGATAGTTTCCCTTAGCAGTCTCTCCAGACAACATGACACAGTCAGCACCATCAGTAACGGCGTTACCAACGTCACTGATTTCAGCACGAGTTGGTCTTGGGTTGTAGATCATGGACTCGAGCATTTGGGTAGCACAGATGACTGGCTTACCAGCCATGTTGCACATTGCAATCATCTTCTTTTGAGCAGCGAAAACCTCAGCAGCTGGGATCTCGATACCCAAATCACCACGAGCAACCATGACACCATCAGTCTCCTTCAAGATCTCAGGGAAGTTGTTGAGACCTTGTCTGTTCTCAATCTTGGCAATGATTTGAATGTGCTTTCCATCTTCACCGAGAACCTTACGGATTGACTTGATGTCCTCACCACGACGGATGAATGAGGCAAAGACCATGTCGACGTTGTTCTTGACACCAAATCTCAAATCGGCTTGATCCTTCTCAGACAAAGCTGGGAGATCGACATCAGTGTTTGGGAGGTTGACACCCTTCTTGGAAGAGATCTTTCCGTTGTTTCTTGCGCGGCAACGAATGGTCTTGTCGTCAACAATCTCCAAAACATCGAAAGCAAGGACACCGTCATCAACATAGATGATGCGTCCTGGTTCGATGACCTTGGTGATGTTCTTGTAGTCAACGTACCTGAAAATCGTCGTAATAGATTAGCATTGGATACTCTCATGACCAATTGTTTGTTGTGAATTATACGTACATGTTCTTCTCGTCACAAGCAGTGACATACTTGTCATCGGTTGTAATGTTGATCTCTGATCCAGCAGAGATAGGGATGTCGGCATCACCAACTGTGTTACCAGTTCTGATTTCTGGACCCTTGGTATCTAAAGCAATGGCGAGTTGACGTCCTGGTTGAACCTTTTCGGCTTCACGGGCATTGTCAATGACGGATTGATGGTATTCGTATGAACCGTGGGAAAAGTTCATGCGGACAACATTGAGACCAGCCACACGGAGCTTGTTGAGAGCTTCGACAGAGTTGGTTTTAGGACCGATGGTACAGATAATGGAAGTACGGCGATAGTTCTTGGTAGGCTTGAACTCAGTGTTGAGGTTTGCCAACCAAGCAATCTTGGAGGTTCCGGTAACTAAGTGATCCATTGCGGTGGCCATTTTGTAAAATAATCAAGAGGGAGGTTGAGGAGGAGGAATATGTAGGTAGAATTCGATGTGGTGGGGGTAAGTGCAACTGTTAAAAAGCCTTTCTTTTTTTCAATTCGTCAGTTTAAATGTGAGCAATCGGATTAGGAAAATGCAGAAACCTGGTTGAATGAAATACTTTTGAGAGGTACAGAAGGAGAAACAAAAGGATTGAAATATGCAGAGAGAGAGGAAGAGGAAGGGTATTATTAGTTTGGAGTTGTGCCGCGTTTCTGCCAATCTGTTGGCTGGATCAAAAGACACGGACAACGATCAAACAGTCCAAGAATGCCAATATTTGGATTGTTGAGCTGAGATCCAATACAAAGCACAAGGGGTTCCCCATCCACCAAAGTATATTAATGATGGACAGCAGGGGAAGGGAAAGTAAATGATACACTTACCAGTTGACCAGAGGGTGAGTTGGATTGAAGAAGAGGAAGAGGAAGAGGAAGAGGAAGAAGAACACGAACGAATAGAAGATAATCTAAAGACCTTGTGGTTATGTTGAGAAGCTTTTATGGTTGAAGGAGCTTGGAGGGGAGAGGAGGGGAAATCTTTCTTTTTTTGCAAAAAATCTAATCGACTCCCCCTCCCCTCATCTCCAAGCTAGCCATCTCACCCACTACTAGGTTTGGTTTGGTTATCCCACTTCGCAGATTTGCCTGGTGTGCAACCCCACATCAACATGTTTGAGGTGACATTGGAGTGAAGGGTCCAGCGAGATACCGGCCGGGAGGTCCGTGATAGTGAATTTTTGAATTTCTATGTCAAATATCTTTTAGGTATCGGTGTACGTGAGGTGAGGTCTTGGGAGGGAGTAGCTGAGGTGTTTGCCATGCAATGGTTTCGAGAGAATTACGCAGCAAAGGATCAAGGTTAAAATGGGTGACAATAATTGATTTATTATTTCTCCTGCCTCTCTTACCTCTCTTGCCTCTCTTTTCACTGATGTGTATCTGGGTAGGTAGCTAGTAGATATATACTCAAGTGTACTCCGTCGATATCGGGGTGTATGTACGAACAAGTAGCAGCGCAGCCTTCACACACAATCCAGTAAACCGACATGTACTCACCGATACTCCGTACACATTTTACCTTTATATCTTCTCATGCAATGACACCTATTGAATTGTACAGGCCGGTACCGATGCACGAGGTACCTGGCACACAGATCCCTTACCCCGAATGAAACAAAATATCTTGGGGTGCCATCTGGTGAAATGCGTGTGTTGTTGTCTGGCCATTCTTTGCTTCTTTGCTTGCTGAGACTCTCTCGAGACTGGGACTGGGCAACTCAGGTCCGATAGCAGATAGAGATGTGCGTTAGTCCACATGAATCCCTAAGCACCAAGTAAGTAAGTAGTACACCAGCGAGACCAGGTAAGTAGCATCGGCCATTCTTTCGGTCCTGAATGCCAAAACTCAAAGACTAAAATGTAACCGGAACCCACTTGGGCGCCTGGACGCAGGACTGGACGCAGGACGCTCCACGGAGTACTCCATGGTCCATACTCGAGCCATAGTCGGTCGAACGTGCAAACTTCCGAGATTCGGCCTGAGTGCCTAACATACAAGGCAACAACTATCTTTCTTAGCTCCTTACCTAGTCTCCTAGTCTAGTTTCTTATCCTAACCTTAGGTTCTGATATCGCGTCGGTGAATGAATGTATCCGAGACGACCTATTATCCCAATCTCAAAGTCAGCTCACATCGCAACAACCTTGGTTTCCAAAACAAGCAAATCATAAGCCAACCTTTTGCGCATCAAACGTTTGTCGGGCTCCGGATAATTCACATTACCTTTTCCATACCATTATCTTAGAAAGCGCGTAAACTTCGCCCTTCAAGTCATAAATATGGTAATTAGTTGCCTCCCCCTAAGCTTTCAGGTCTTTCAGAACTTGGGAACCTAATCAGCTCAGTTCTTCCTCAATTTACTGACATTTGGACTCGCGGGAAAGCTCGGAAGACTTACTCATTATGCATTTGATGCTGTCCTATGTAACTACTCCCTCCCGGTTCTCCTTGCGGCAAAAGGTTCGAAAATATACTGACCTCCTTGATATAGTCTCAGCATTCTTGGCTGGTATGAAGAGATCAACTGGTTTAACGTGTGTTGACCCCTATACCTTTCTTTGCGACCATGTTGCGAAATGATCAACTAGCACTACAGATGCAAATTTTGGGTTTCTTCATTGGGCGGTGTAGAAGGCTAACAATTCCCATCCTTCGGGACTCTAGACCCAGCCTTAAGAAAGATGTCACCGAAAACAAAGAAATTAACGGTTGGATCGAGAAATATCTTGGAGTTGGTGAATGGGTTATGGATACATCGGTAGCCTTTGCAGGGTCTTCCGGCTTCTTTGAGAGAAAGAGATGATCGGAGCCTTCGATGCGGATATGCGAAAAAGAGTACATGCATCTCAGATGCGCGGAGGGAATGAATTCACGGCAGATACCTTGCGATTTGGAGAACGATCGATAGGGGTCGAGATCCCATGGAGTTTTGGGCGTTTTTGTGTGGACATGTCCGCTTGAAGGTGGCGGTACAACGACGATATGGTCAAGGTTGATGGGAGGTACTCTCTTCTCTATGAGTTAGGATACTTTTGCAGGCAAAGGAAGAAAATGAAGATGTAGCCAGAGACAGAAGATGTATTGCGAACTATGTATATTTTTCTTCAGAGGGCATCTCCACATCTTGATACCCCATGTTCCGAAGGGCCAGCCGAAAAGACCCGAAATCGAGTTTTCCTACTAGACTTCAACTGTAACCCTCTCTGCCCCTCTCTGCCCCTCTCTACCCGGATCTTTCTTAAACCACACTCTCCCCTTTTCCTCTTTCTATTTCTATCAGATCTTCGAAATCTCTTGACCTCTCTTGGCTTTTACTTTCCTACCTCTCTTCAAGAACAACAAAATCCCACTAAACGGACGTGTTCTGTTTACCTCGTTGTATGCAAGACTTACAAGCCTATACTCAGCCAATTCAGCTCAGCCCTATCATTTACGGTTATGGTTATGTCTTGTAATCGACAGAAAACTGTTTCGAAACAGAAATTACATGTGAAAAGTCAATTGGGCTTTGGATTGACTGATATTAATGGCTTCATATCTTTCTAATGCAGATCTTGTACATGCCTATTAATTGTACGCAACTTTACTTCACCAGGTACTCGTCCCGTCATTGAATACCTAGGTATTGGTGGTTGGCGATTCTTTATGGGCTACGTTCGGGAGATCTACAGGCTAGTGGGGGCGCAACAGCCTTGAACTATTCCACCTCATCATGTTCATCTTTCAATCTCAAATCCATCACAGTCCGAACATTTACATATACCCTTCGACTTTAATCATCACCACAGGAAATCGGCATTGATGTCATAGTACTTTGGAGAAGTCTGCTTCATTATGCCAACAGCAATTCCACTGAACTTACTCCTGGGATGAGATTATTCATTCTCAGGAAACACAATCGTTATGCTACCACCACCTACTTTGAGCTTCACAATTCCTTCTGTCCACGACAATCTAAATCTCGAGTGTCGTATCTACCATCCGTCAAGTCTGGTACCCAACTCCATCTCGCAGGCTTTGCCATGGAGAAAGAAAGCTGCTATTGTTGCGCATCCTTACGCTCCGTTGGGGGGAAGTTACGATGATGCGGTTGTTGGTTTGATTGCTTCTACCATTTTGAATGATGGGTTCATTGTGGGAACTTTCAATTTTCGGTACATAAAACTGCCCATCTATCATCATATGCTTGAACATTAGACTCACTTAGTATTTCCAGTGGTGCGGGCTCCTCAAAAGGGCACACTTCATGGTCCTCCTTGCCCGAGCAAAAGGATTACATATCATTTCTCGGATTCATCGTAACCTATTTACATCACCTTTCTGTGCCATATTCATCTAGACCACCGTCGTTTGCACAGTCTGATTCTCAACTCCACACCCTCGCTCCTGTCCCATCAGAACGCTTGATGCAGCCTACGAATGATACCCTTCCAGGCAGATATACCTCCGCAGGATCAGTTGAGAGCAGTGATGCACAGCCTCTATTACTACTTGCCGGCTACTCATACGGATCCCTCATCACTATAAATCTCGAGCCAAGCCTTCTTGGCATGCTAGCTCCTTTTCGGCAACCAGCATCTGGCAGTCCATACGCAGACATAAGATCTCGAGCACGATTCTTAGCCACTCAACAAAACGAAATGATGGAAGCTACATATTCATTGCTTCGAGCTGGAGGTCATCGGAGAGGTCGTAGTCTTCAATCAGGAGAACAAATCACAAATCACAAAACTCGATTATCTAGCTCAGGGGTCAGAATGGGCGGCGATGAAGATATTAGAAGAGCTAGTCATGATATGCATGGATCTGGAATGAGACGATCGTTTTCTGTGGATGCACCGATGAAGGTCAGAAAGAGTATGGACAAGTTCAAGTCTATTGTTCATCCCGGGTCGCCAAGGAGAGGAGAAAGCCACCCTTCGTCCATTGACCCGGGCAAAGATAGTGTGATGAATCTGGGAATTCCAGAGAGACTTTCTCGTGATAGAGAAGATGCCAATATCATGGAAATTCTTGGAAGTGATTTCAAAGTTGCTTACCTACTCGTTTCCCCTTTGCCTCCTGATGGCATGATCAACAATTTGGCCAGTATTGGGAGCTTCAGGTTGACTTCCCTTTTCGGAAAGCAAGGTCCCAAAATAGATAACAACATCAAGTTTACAATTGATCCTACTTTGGTTATCTATGGGACCGGTGATATTTTCGTCCAAGCTAAGACTGTCGAACGTGAGTAGAAGCCAATTGCTATGAGAAATTTGAATCAACGGGCACTAACTTTCGCTTTCCAGGCTGGACTGAAAAACTGTTGAGTTTATGTAAGAGTAGAGGATCTGCGAACGGGGTAGTTTTCAGGTACGAAGAGATCGCTAATGGAGAGCACTTTTGGAGAAACCCCAAGGCTGCTAGGCAGCTGGTGGAGAAAATCGGGGGTTTTCTGTCAGAGATACTGGAGTAATTTTCTTACATAGCATGATGGCATAGACTGTAGACGATCAATGATAATGATAATGTTAATGAAATCACGAAAGTTCATGACAATAATTGTTTTCACGTCTTCGCCGAAATTCCCACGCCTAGTGTATGATTTAATATGTGCATGCGACCAAATCGAAGAAGCGAAAAGACATCAGGGGGTCTTTGTCTGTTCTGTTGTATGAACAACTTCCAAGTGGTTGTTGCAGTGGAGTAATGAGGACGTATTGTGCTTCATCATGAGCGCATGTGATTATTTAGTTGTGCCATTTGATGAAGGGGTATACACGCTATACATCAAGTGCCACCTCCTGTGCTCTTAAAGTCGTAGGGAAATTGATGGTGGATGGATTAAATCTATTATTGTTAATGTTTTTTTTTTTTTTTTTTCCCAATTTTACTACTTGCAAGTTTTCTCAAAATTACAATCTCACTCGGTCGAAGGCAATTGGTGTGATTACCAGATCAACATTCGATGTATTAAGCTGGCTAACATAAATGGATACCGTAACTACCACGTCAAACATCAAGGGAATGACAACACAACCGAGATAGCGCTCATTGGTTTATTCAATTGACGGCAATTTAGTTCTTGAGATGAGGTGGAACATTATCTTTGTAATGCGCTTTGCAGAGTTTCTCGCCATAGTAGAAATGCTCGCCCGCCTCCAAATCCGGGAAATTGGAAACTCTAGCCTTCTGCTCAAACATCATGACGCAATCCGATCCGCCGAAAGCGAAATGCGAGATTTCATCTCCTTTCTTGATCGTCTTGCCCTTTAGTTCCATGTTCATGTTGACAGAGGAAACAATCGCCATACCAATCGGCATGACGGCTACCCGTCCCAACTTTTCATTGTTGATAATGAGGATTCCACGGGTTTGCAAGAATTGATAGCCGGGTGAGTCGGGAGCGTCGAGTGTGGTGACTCCGTTGGACTCTGGCTTCTTCATACGAGGAGAAATGCGACGGCGAGGGGCAAGGTAATTGTGTCCTCCGGCTTTCTTGTCTGTCTCCACAAGTACCTCTAAATAGGCGGCACCTTCAATCACATCGATGACCTCGACGGTTCCAGAGACGGGAGCGTGCTGTCGATGATAATCAAAGGTGTTGAGGAAAGAATGTGTCCAAATTCCTTCTTGGAACACTTCTCCGTATGTGGTTTTATCGTCGAGGTTGGGAACTTTCTGTTTCCCGTATGGGCCGAGCAAGTCTGATACTTTCCAAGGGAGGTTCTTGAGTACGACCTCGGACTCGTCGGTGATGGAAAAGGCACCGGCGAAAGTGGAATCGGCAGGGAAGGTGATGATGCGATGATCTTCTGGTGAGGTGATTTCACGGGGTTCCTTGAGCTTGCGATAGAAGAATTGATTGAAAGTCGTCCAATTCTTTGGATCTTCAGCTTCAAACACGCGGAATTGAGGAGAATTTCGATAACTCGTCAAGGAAGTCTCATTCCACGACTCGGGCTTATCCATAAAGTTCCCAATCGCCTTGGCATAGCGCACCAACCAGTCCGAGAGCGGCGTGAGTGGCTTATTCACATTCTTGGGGAGAATGGACGTCTGACGCACGCCGAAGGGTTCTTGGGCCAGCACGAAGTAGAAGATGCAGAGGATGTAGTAGATGTCGCGGCCGTTGGTGCTCTCGGTGGGGATCCAGCCGCGCACCAGCCAGTCGGCGAAATCGAGAAAGCCTTTGCCGGAGGTGATGCCGTAGGTTTTCATGTCTGGGATGTCGTGGGCGAGGGCGTTGCGCACGGCGGTGTCGAGATCGTCGACTTCGCGGAGGAGCTCGTCGCGTAGCTCGGTGATGATGGGGGCGTAGGTGGGCATGGCGGTGGGGTGGGGAGTTGGTTGGAGTTTGGGGATTTCTTTGGGGGTTAGGATGGAGGGATGGACGATGGATGATAGATGATGGGCGAGAGTTTTCAATGCTGAGTATGTATGTATGTATGTATGTATTGATTGATTGAGGAGTTGTTTCAGACCTGGGCTTTTCGCATTCATCGTGGTTCTCGCAGCGCTTTATATATTTTTCGTTCAGTCGGTTCTGACGACCCATGACGCAGTTTTTCTCTTGTTGCACTTGAACACGCATGAGTGCATATGCTTGCGTCGATAGGATATATTAGAGGTGGCCTGAAGATTGGGAGACGGGAATGGGGTCTTCACAATACTGTACGTAATAGTCGTATGTACGCTGGTTGTAACGATGCGAGTGCTTGGAATAGGAATGAGGGGTTTGTCAAGTTCCTTAGCCAGCTCATCTCTGTCGCATTCGTGTATACGCGGTGATCGTAATGATGCGGATGCTTCGATTAGGAGCTAAGGGCTCAACATGTTCTAAGATTTGCTCATTACATCACATCACACTCGCATATTCGATATACCGAGTCATGCGTCGTGAGATAGCTGTGGGTTTCTGGAAGTTATGGTAACGATTCTTGTTGTTGAGTTGGGTAAGATCGTTACATGGTTGTTGCTAGCAGTGAGAAGATGGTGGGAATCCTTTCTCTTTCGGGGTAGTGATATGAAGTATCTGGATATGTCGTTGGGGGTTTTGGCTCTGTAATGAGTCATTGTAGATTGGAATAGACGCAGCTTTAGTGCTGGATGAGTTTCTCATTTGGGGGAATATTGCAGAGTAAAAATATTAGCAGCTTTAGTGCTAACTGAGATTCGTATCTGGGTCAACATTGCAGAAAGATTGGGTAAAACAAAGGGGAATTGTTGTAGTAGAATTACCTAGTAGCTGGCCAAGTGGGTTATAAGGGATCTTCTTTCGTACTATCTTTTTTTGAACAAGAACAAGTCTTTTACCCACAGAAACTCAGCCGGTCTTCTACTCGTGCTGCTAGAAGATATGCATCTCTGAAGCTAGAGATGCGTATCACGAGATGGGAAACTACAAGAGCACTAATTTGATGCACTGGACCGAATATCCGGCACACTAGACTCGCTCAAGTTGAAATTATTTTGAAAACACTGGTGTTTCGGAAACAAATCACAATATGGAACAACATTATGAATTCCCCAAAGATAAGAGAATTATATTATACATGCCTTCCAATACTTCCATACATTTCACGATCAAAACTATTAATGAATGGTTTTAACCCAGAATATTGAAAATCGTGTGATTGTGGGTGTGTCTGATTTCATTAGCGTCGAAGCTGCATGCCTAGGGGTACTTTCTAGCAGCACGAGCACTGTTGATCAGGAACTAAAACGTTAACACCGCGTCACAACCCCAACACTAAAAGCGGTCGTACCCGCACCCGCCCAACATTCATGAAATTAACACTGTCAAACTACTTCTCCCAGCCAATCGTATCGATAGCGTTACGAGTACTCTAGAAAAAAAGAAAAGTCGAGAGACAAAGTGGCACGCGGGGAACAGTTTTGTCGTATCCGCTTTTAACCTTATTCGTTTGTGTTGATCTCGCGTCTTTATGAGTATTGCTGCATATCAGTTTTGCTATAGTATGCTCGTCTAAGATGAATCGAGCTACGCTAATCATAACTCTTCTCGAGAAACGCGAGACTGCGGGGTAATACGTTTTGAGTGCTGGAGATTGGCAGGAACGATAAATCGTTTTGTGGGGGCTGGGTTGGGTTGAAGTGGATGTAAGATATATGTATGTATGCTGTTCGTTCGATCTCGGTGTAGGAATCTTCGGCGGAGATGTTTGGATCAGGTGGGCGGTTGGTTGTGTTGTGTTGTGTTGTGTTGTGAATGGAGATGTAGTGATGAGATGGTCTACTTGGGTACTCACATGTTTCGTCTTGATGCGGGTATGTGTGTGTATCTGAATTGGAGTAAGGGTTCTGGATAGATCGGTTGAGTAGTGTACAAGTGCGTGCCCAGTTTTGGGTATTGAATACGTGGATATCGGACCTTGTTTACCGTTCGGTTTTATTTATGGTGTGGCTGGCAGATGAGCGAAAGCTCTTTAGTGTTTGGACACCGGAGATTCACAGGTAACGGGACAATAAGACGTTTGAGGTTGTTTGTTACCGGCTTTGGTGGTATGATCTTCAGGTGAATATCAGATTCCCATGGATAACCTTGAATGAATTGAAAGTGATAAGGGTATGGCAATGGAGAATACATAAAGCACACATACTATAATGTATTGCAGTCCACAAGTGTGCAAGACATGTGGTGTGAGCTTTGAGAGTATGTATCTACGGTTTTGTACGCGAAACAGCTACTTCTCATCCGAGTATTGGATGGGGAAATCAAAGTCCTTGAAGCCTTTCTCTTGCTTTAGATTGCTGTGGAAGAAGCTCTGTCTATGGTCACCAGTCGTCATGTAGAACGAAGTAGCTTGGGTCTTTTACATCATGATTTAAAGCTTCTTCTCTGAATCAGTAACTTAGTTGTCACAATTGTCTAAGTTTTCATGCTAACATTAACCCCTGTGTCTGGTCTTTAGTCGAGAACACAGAAGCACTGGCTGCATCAACAGCTAACCCAGCTCCAGCATAGAGTAAGTAGCATATCCCCCAATAACCTTTTGCCGTCTTGAATATTGCTGATCACGTCCCGTCTCTTCTCTCAGATGAATATGACGCCAATCTCACAAAAGAGATCATCAACAGTTAGCACATTCTGCACGTATCATTTCTTAAGAAAGACTCCGAGTACCCAACTGTTTGTTATCTCGTCGGCAAGATCTTCACATGCAGCGATAGCCAGAAGCCTTGTATGGTATGATCATGTGCAAGAACCCGTTCTAGGTCGTCTCAAGGGGATCGAAAAGCGCGATCCTGATATCCCCGTCAGCGTCGCGGCTAGCGTGGTCAATAGTCACTATCTTGAATTCTCAGGATTTGCCATTGGCTTCTCGTTTCCAATATTGTGCTCAATAGAACTGCTAGCCTGATGGGTGTATCCAAGAGTCACAAAGTTGAGAGAGAAGACATCATGAAATATATTGTCAATTCGCAGATTCCTGATCGATGGAATCATCATTGGCCAATTGGCACAGATGTGAATTATGTTTCTATAATCAAGATTACCACCAGTGTGCAAAAACTACACACACATTCGCTACCCAAGGTTTTGGGCCTGGAAGTACAAAATTATGTCGAGGATGAGAAACTCTGCAAGGAGTATTGGGAGGGCACGATACCTTTTTGGGAGAAATTCGGACAGCCCATTTTGGGGAATGATAATCTTCCAGAGGCGGGTAAATCAAATTCATATTCATATCCAGTTTTGGAGACTTGAGTCAGGGTGAAGTTGGCAATATGATTCTGTGGATGTTTCTGTGGTATATTCGAACCATTACTGGTCCTTACCAAGTATCATTCTTCAACATCTTATCTTTTAGACAATCTGAACGACCGATTTTTCTGCACGTTTCTCAAAAGATCTATAGACACTTTTTCCTTCCTCCTAAAATTTCGTCATCAGACCCCGGTGATAGAAATGCACATTCTCCTGCGCATCTTCTGTAAATTCACCAATATGCAAGAATACATTTTCATGATTGATTGCGTATGATGCTACATCACATCGCATACAAATCACTCGCTCAAACTGATCTGCAATAATAACTTCCTCTCGTGTACATACATACATGATCGTTCACGCCACCCATATTTCAGCTCGTCATTGAACGCCATAGTGTACTGAACTATAATGGGTACACGTACGACTGTATCTCGATTGTGTAACTTCCATAAGGATTCGCTACGTCTACCAAGACTGTCATCCGTTTGTGGAATGGGAATTCTGCGATTGTGATAGACGGATGGAGGGCACGTCATATGTGTTAGTGTATTTGGGTTTTACGCTACTGTGCTGCTATGCAGTTATGAGAGTGCATCTGCATCTGCAATTGCGATGCGCGATCCGCGAGATGTGATGAGTGATTTGTGAGGAATTCCCCGCATTTCTTGGGGAGTCACACTTGGGAGATGTGTTGTCAGTGGAGTGGTGCTTCGGTGGTGAGATAAAGTCGAGGAGGGTTTGGACTAGCTGGAAGCTATTGTGTGGGATTGAAGAAAGTAATTCAGTGGTAGCACTCTGGGTAGAGAGATATATGCATATATGGGTGAGATTTTTGTGAGAGGATTGGCTGTGGAATGGTGATGAGGTTGTGTAAGTCGGGTACTCTATTTTCGGGTTATCCCTGTTTTGAATTATCCTTTTATACCAAAAATCACTTTTTAGGTCTATTAATATCTCTATCAATATATAATATAATTTATTGAAAATTTATATATGTATAATTTAAATCGATTTAAATTTATTTTGAAATTTTCAGATTTTTAGGATTTTTTTGTATTGAAATATAGAATTTCAAAATATTGATTTTTTAATTTATATAGGAATTATATATAAATTTAGAAATTTTATAAAATCTTTAATAACTTTTTAATAATAATTATTAAAAGAAAACTATATATATTTTTGAGATATTTAAATTTGAATTTATGTAAAGATTCAAAAAAAAATTCAAAAAAATTAGTAAATATAGAAATATAATATATAGTGAGTTTAAAGTAATATAAATAATTCTTATTATTTTGAGGGTATCCTTATAAATATTTATTTATAAAAGATTTTCTATTTTTTCTGAATCTTTTAGATAAAGTATATTATAAATTTATAATAAAATTTTATAGTTTATTTTTAACAATTTTTATTAAAAAGTTATTAAAGATTTTATAAAATTTTCAAATTTGTATATGATTTTTATACAAATTTGAAAATCGATATTTTGAAGTTTTATATCTTAATACAAAAAAATCCTAAAAATCTGAAAATTTCAGATTAAGCTTTAATCGATTTAAATTATATATATACAAATTTTTATTAAATTTATTTATAAATAAAAAAGTTATAAATTCCATTTTTGGTGTATTTTGAGTATAAAAAGTAATCCAAAAAGGGGGTGGCCCGAAAGTAGGGTACCCGACTTATATAGTTCATCAAAAGTTCGGCTTGAGTATGAGTCTCTTTTTCATTTGTGTTTTGCCCAAGTGTGAGTGTTGTTTTTAAAATTGAAAGTTTGTTGTTTGGTTCTGAGATTTCTATAGTGTTGATCTCCTTTTCGAATCTCTAATCTCCTATTACGAAGTGCAGTGGTTTATCTTCCATTTAGCCATGGCTACGGGTGATTTGGACTTTGTTTTCAAGAAGTATGTATTCGGATCTACGGGATAGGAACTCTTGAGCTTGTTGCTAATCACTAAATACTTCGTGCTTAACATAGAATCGATGAGCTTGCTACCGCTACCGCTCCCAACTTCAACATTATCCATGATCGTGAGTGAAGAAAAGTAATTCTGCGGAGAACGAAATGTCAGATATTCTAACTACAATCTAGGACTCGTACCCGCGATCAAAATCCCATCCATCTCTTCTGAGCGAACTGTCGAGGGACGCAAACATGTAGTTGCTGTGTGTATATCTTCTTTTGCTCCTTGGAGATCTTTTGTACTCTGACACGCATCAGATGACGGATTTTCTGGCAGATCAACTCACGAAGTTAAATGCATCTGTGGATCGACATTCGTTGGGGAAAGAACCAGAAACACAACTTCAGTTGCCGGATGTTATTATTGCTAAATATCCAAAAGTGTATGATAGTAAGAAGAAGACTATTTTGATTTATGGCCATTATGATGTTCAGCCTCCGGGAGAAGGTGTAAGTTTGATTAGTTTATTGAGTTCTCTATTCTCGATTTTCGATTTTGTTGGCGATGCTTTATGAAGCGACTATCCGTGTTTATTGATAAAGCTTCGGCTCTTCGCCTTCGTTATCTCCTCACACCCTTCTTTGATGAACATTACTGATAATCTAATCTTCAAGTGGGATACCGACCCCTGGACCATCACAGAAAAAGGCGAAGATCCCGACAAAAAACTCTACGGACGAGGAGCTACCGATGACAAAGGACCCGTGCTCGGCTGGCTCAACGCACTCCAAGCCTACCAGGAAGCAAAAGTCGATGTCCCCGTGAATCTCATATTCTGTTTCGAAGGAATGGAAGAATCTGGATCCACCGGATTCGCAGAATTTGCAATCGCCAACCGCGCTCTCTTCGAACACGTCGATGCTGCATGCATCTCTGACAATTATTGGCTTACGACCAAGAAACCATGTCTAACATATGGACTTCGCGGTATCAATTACTTCAACCTCACAGTGGAACATGCAGGTGTTCAACTCCATAGTGGAATGTTTGGAGGTTGTGTGTATGAGCCCATGACGGATCTAGTGATTCTTCTTTCGAAACTTGTGGATTCTCAGGGTAAAATCTTGATCCCGGGGATTAATGAACTTGTAGATGATGCGTCCAAGGAAGAGGTGGAGGAATATGCTACGATAGAGTTTTCGACGCGGGATTTTCAACAGACTATTGGCAGCGATGCGAATATTTATGATGATCCTAAGAAGACTCTCATGCATAGATTCAGGTATCCGTCTCTCACCATTGTAAGCCCAACCAGCTCTTTCATTTTATACTTTTCAATTTCCAACATTCTCCGTTATCTCATATGTTTCACCTACCGCAAATTTCAGCTATCTACACAACTATTGTCCCTGAACTCCTTTCATACTAGAAAATATTGACAATCCCAATTCTAGCACGGTATCGCAGGCGCAGATTCCAGCCCCGACCAAACCACCGCCATCTACCCCAAAGTGACTGCCAAGTTTTCCATCCGCACTGTGCCGTCCATGGATCAGGAAACCGTCTCCAATCTCACCATTAACTATCTCTACCAAGAATTTAAAAAACTCGGAAGCAAAAATACATGCACAGCGAAACAGTTTGGAGAAACAGCTCCGTATTGGCTTGCTTCCCCTGATGATGCAAATTACAAGGCTGGAAAGGCGGCTACGCAGAAAGTTTATCATACTGAACCTGATTTGACGAGGGAGGGTGGAAGGTTAGTTTATATTATTTTTCTGGTTTTGGCAGTTTGGCTCTTTGTTTAGAGTTCTTGGCTAACAGTATGACGAATTTGTAGTATCGGAGTAACACTTGATCTGCAAAAGGCATTGGGGAAAAAGAGTATCATGTTATTGCCAGTAGGGATGTCGGATGATGGGGCTCATGGTCCCAATGAAAAACTTAACAAGACGAATTACATCGAGGGGAGCAAATTGCAGGGAGCTTATTGGTGGTATTTTGCCAATCCTCAGTCCTAGTTTGCTGTCAATCCGGACTTGGGATCTCTGCTAGTTAGGTGATCAAAATCCAAGTAAACCGTACCTCATATGAATATCTGATGATGTGGAATATATGAATATCTCTGCAAGTCCATGATTGAACCTTTCCACGAGCCTAGCGATTCAATATTATGTAATGGTTCTCATCATAAGTATGCATTGGGCGAATCTTCTCTAAAATCCCATGTGGATCGAGCACAATGGCCTCAGCAACTTCATACGAACTACTCATTTTGAAGATCCTGGCCACTTGGCTGATTTGTCAAGCATTTCTTGGTGTCTTGCTACCATGTCTTCGCTCTCATTGACAGGTAGTCTTTCACGGTTCTTGGATACAAGAATTTATCCGCATTTTATCGGCATTTTAGCAAAAATTCTGTACCGATGAGATGTATTCAGCTACATGATGTGATAATTGATAGAGAGGAAAATAGCATATTACAGGAAGCCATAATGCACATTGGTCAGTTGGGAGCAAAGAATTTGCACACCATGAAGGTCTCAGAATCGCTCCTTCCTATTCTATTAATCGAATGCTTACTTTTTTGGCATGAAATTCTGGACAAGTTAGTGCTTGAATTGCCAGCGTACCTAATGTTACTACATCATCTGCTCCTGAGCCAATGTTGATATCGAGTCAATAACATAAGGCACATCGAAAATGCAGGAGGAGAAGTCACCTCGGTCATTCGTTCTTGACAAGATAAATGTAACCATCAAGGCAACGAAACCACACTTTAAATGCGTATTGTGAATAATGTATCATTCAGAAATGAGTTGCTGTTGTTCATACAGTCTTTTGGCAGTTTTTCTGTCAGCGTACTGATGTCGGTAGTTTCCTTGGCGAGATATTTCTCAATAATTCTTGACGGCACTCTCATTAAAACATTGCCAGAGTCTTGATGATCAGTGTTCTTGAAAACAGAAGTCCTTCAATAGCTCTGATCAATTTGATCGCCGAATTGATCACAATTAACAAGCTTACTGAAGCCATTCTCATTGAGGATTCATCGTGAAGCAGGATGGTCATACTTCCGGACTAGAAGATACCCAATAAGCTCCTGATTCTTGGAAGCCGTACAATTATCCGAACAAGATTCAGTATTCCAAACCATTTCAACTATTAGGGGCATTCGGAAATGAAAGTTTCTGGCTGTCGGACTGCAACTCGGAATATCAGAGAACCTGGCTGGAAGAATCTTGACTTTCTATTCTATCCCGCTGCGAACGCTCCTTCCGTGTTCCCAAGGAATTGATTTCAACAATATGGCACTTTTCTTTTGAAAACAGACGCCCATGTTGATATATAATGTAAGTTAATGCGTCTACCAAAGTCATTATGCAAGATTAGTAATCGACATTCTTTTTTCCACCTCAAATTCTACACAACATCACTTCGTTGTCATACTACAATCGCATTTTATTTTCACTACTCATGCATTACTTTGTGTTACGTCAATCTTATTTTCAAATTCCAGATTCCATCGAAGTTGATTATTTCTTCTTCTCGTCTTTCCTGTACAATGCGAAGAATTCAGGTATCACAAGGGCGGTGTGAAGTGATGAAGATCTACCTACGCATCTAATCGTGCTGTCAGAATCTATGCAACTCCAAAGCTAGAAAGCATATACCACAAGATGGTAAGCTACAACAGGACTAACCCGTTTTTCACAGCAGCTGAACTGTATACTTTCTGGTCACTCGAGAAGGTGAAAGGAGTCATCTTCAGATTTAGGGTTCAACTAGTTGAATGCCAATGGTTTAGTTGAAACTTAATACTTGATTTCATTCTACGAAGACGGATGAGTTGTATAGCAAAAGAAATATAGTGTCTCTATAAAAAAGTATGTATGATCTAAAGATGAATTGTACTTTCACAATTTTCCGAATACATCAAGGGTCCTTCTTTGAGGGTTGAAGTCTTGCGCTACACTACTAGAATATCCACCAAAAGTGTCAGGAGTGTTCTTACAATTTCTCATTACAAATGGATTCCTCTAATGGAAAAGTCTCGCCATCAGTAGCCTTAACACCAGAGATGGTTCCATCTAATGGAACGACTTTGACACCGGAGATTGGTTCTTCCAATCAAACAGGTGCAACTAGCGCATTTCAAGTACCAAAGATGGATTGCTTCAATCGAATGGTCTTGTCGCATTGGGATGCCTTCTCAGGTGCAATCGAAGATGAAGTTTCTGGACTCGAGCCAATAAGAGCAGATGGATCTAATTTGAACCTAGCGACCCTGGTTGCCATCGCGAGGTAATTGTCAGTTCTGACCGCTACGTGTAAGAAAGTTGATACTGACACAAGTCTCGAAGATACCGTCGCAAAATCTCACTTAGCGAAGGAGCAATCGGAAAAATGAAGAAGAGTGCAGAGGCTTTGCAAGAACGGATTCAAAACGGCGAGTCAATTTATGGTGAGTTCACACGCTTTTGAGCAAACGTAAAAGTAAGAGCACGCAAGCTCATACATTGGAAGGTGTAAATACTGGTTTTGGTGGAAGCGCAGATGTTCGACCAAAGAACGTTTCGGAAGTATCTGCAAGCTTATTCCGAATGCTCCATTACGGAGTTATTTCTGGCCCTCTAGACAGTCGTCATGTTGAAGAGTTAGCAACAAACGATTCAGTGAGCGATATTGAATCCAGGGAGTCTACAGCTGCGAAACTAGCAAGACTGGCTATTCCTTTGTCTGATGCCGTTTGCTCAACCACCATGCCAGAGAGCTGGGTTCGTGGAGCAATGGCCATTCGTGCCAATACGCTTGCCAAGGGAGCCTCTGCAATTCGACCAGTCATTGTTCAATCTCTGTTCGATCTTTTAAACAAGGAAGTTATCCCAGCAGTGCCTCTTAGGGGAAGCATATCTGCTTCCGGTGACCTTAGCCCGTTGTCATACATAGGTGGAGCATTGGAAGGGAAGCCGGCGATTCAGGTTTACGTTGATTCTGATCGAAAACGCATCTCAGCAGACAAAGCATTATTGCAAGCTGATATTTCCCCCGCAGTATTCCAACCTAAAGAGGGATTGTCGTTAGTCAATGGAACAGCAGTGACAGCTGCAGTTGCATCTCTAGCCATGCATGACGCGATTATGCAAGCTCTGCTTTCACAAATTCTTACTGCTATGTCTGTTGAAGCGCTTTCTGGTACCGACGAAAACTTTAATCCTTTTTTTGCTGAAGTCAGACCCCATAGAGGTCAAACGGTATCAGCGAAAAACATCTACTCGTTCTTGGCTGGCTCCAAATTGACAAAGAGAAATGATACTCAAGAATTTCATCTACGTCAAGATCGTTATTCTATTAGAACTGCGTCACAGTGGATTGGTCCATCACTAGAGGATCTTTTGTTATCCTATGAACAGGTATCAATTGAGTTGAACTCCACCACTGATAATCCCCTCGTTAGTGATGATGGAAAGATGCATCATGGTGGAAACTTCCAAGCGAAGTCCATCACAAGTGCCGTAGAGAAGACTAGACAAGCTTGCCAATCAATTGGTCAAATGTTATTTGCACAATGTACCGAGTTGATAAATCCAGCAACAAACAACGGCCTCCCTCCTAATCTGGTGGCAGATGAGCCAAGCGAATCCTGGATGTTTAAAGGTATTGATATTATGATTGCGGCATTGCAATCTGAGCTTGGTTTTCTGTCTAATCCCGTTGGATCACATGTTCAGACGGCTGAAATGGGAAATCAAGCTTTGAATTCTCTAGGACTGATCTCGAGTAGATACACGCTATCGGCTTTGGAAGTTCTGACACAGCTTTCCGCAGCGCATCTAGTGGCTGTATGTCAAGCTCTAGATCTTAGAGGAATACAGGATTTATTCTTTGTGAATCTGAGGCCTAAGTTTGAGAGTTCTTTCAATCGGAGCCTTGGAAAATATACTCAGGAAAGCCATGGTCAATGCGACGATTCCATGGAGACGAAGGAACTCTCTGACTTGCAACTGCTCCTCTGGAATAAACTGACAACAATTCTCAATTGGAGCTCAATAATGGACTCGACCACGCGCTTTGAACATGTAGTTCAATCGCTTCAGGCAGTCATTCTTGATAAGTTGGAGCCCAGTCTAGAGATGTTGCAAGCTTTGAAAGACTGGACGAAAGTGTGCTCAAAGCATATGATTGACACCCACAAAGTGGCAAAGAGACAATATTCTGAATCAATCGGGGTTGCTAAGTTCTTTTTGGGCAAAGCCGGTGAGCGGATGTATTGTTATGTACGCAATGAGCTTCACATCCCTTTCGTTGACGAGGAATACCTCAAGTCTTCGGAATGGTCATCCGAAAAGCCTAACTCGTATCAATCCATCGGAAGTATGGTAACCACGGTATACGAGAGCATGAGATCGGGCGAGCTATATTCGGTTGCTATCGAGTGCTTGAAAGATGCAGAAGGGGGAAGAAATAAAGAATCGAATAAATAAAGTAGTGCACGGACATTGTATAGATAACGATCATTCAATATGAAATACCACAGTGAAGATTGTAAATCAAGGGCATTGAAAAGTTGTGAGAATGACAATGTTGTAGAAGTGAAAATAGTTCAAAGTTTAACTAAATGGTGTTGCATTTAAGGTTATGTATATAAGCCCAATTCTACAATGATAAGCTTACCTATGGATGGAAGTCAGCCACATTTTACTACCACAACACTCAAAACGTGACAGGCTGATTTGCTTCAGATGCACCACGCGAATAAACCCAATACAGTTTGATTGAGGATTTTACTTTAGAACATCTGGCGTATATCACAACAAATATGGACATCCCCTCAGCTTCTATTTCGATTGAGAATACTGTTGACATGCATTCGAAATCTGAAGAAATTCCGAAAGCTAGTGAGACTGGCAATGATGGAACCAGTAATACTTGGGTATCGTGGACTCCTGGCAGTGAGTGTGCGAAAGGACCTTTGAAAACATTTCATAGGAAGACTAAGACTGGGTGTATAAGATGTAGGATAAGAAGGGTGAAAGTAGGTGGTGTATTTCCTTCGACACGTGATGCTATTTGTGCTCCCTGGGACGATATTTGAAAGTTGAGGAAGCTTTTGAACTATGAAGATGGTTCGAGTCCCGTTCTGCACAGTCGAAGTTCCAATGAGCTCAAATCTCAAGGGAGGGGCTTACGCGGTTTGCAATGTCGTTCCAGGTCCCTGACGCCAGTTCTGACTATTGGTTTAGTGCGATGAATGCCAACCAAGTTGTCTCAATTGTAAACGGCATGGAGTGGAATGCAAGTACGAATCTAGTACATCCAGAAAGGTTCCAGAGAAACCCAATACGGAAAACGTCACTGCCAAAGAACTACGGACTAGATTTCCTGAGACCGCCGAAAGACGTCTACGAGAACTTACCCTGCTTCATCATTACACAACCAACACGAGCCGAACAGTAACATTTACTAACTCAGCCAACCCCGACCAAACTGCTATCGATATCTTCACACAAATTGTTCCTGAAATCGCTCTAACAAACGAAGCACTCCTATACTCTATCTACTGTATATCCTCCCTCCACCTCAACAACCGCGCACCCGCATCCAGTAGCAAACCACCCACTTTCACTCCCAACACATCTCTAGTAGACGCCTACACCTACCTCGACACAACTCTCCAACTCCACCGCCACGACATCCACCACCTCACCCCCCAAAACGCCGACGCCATCTGTCTCACCTCCAGCCTTCTCCGCGTCTGCGCCTTCGCCATGCTTCAAACCCGTTCTCTATCCCCCTATACTCCTCCCTCCGACTGGATAAACATCACCCGCAGCGCATCGATGGCTTTCAAAACCGCGTGTCAGTGCATCTCATCCCGAGATCTAGACGCCAACGACGAAGCGCAGAAGAAAAGCGTGGCGTGGATGTTTGTGAAACGAATGCCGGTTTTGGCTCACCCTGTGGAAATGTTCGATCGGGAAAATGCGGAGAAATTCATCCATTTATTGAGGAGAAATCATACGGATGGGAAAAATGAGGAGTGGAGTGAAGAAATTGAAAAAGCGTATTTGTCTACGATTTGTTTTCTGGGATATGTGTATAAACATGTTGAAGCGAAAGCGAATCCAGCGGTAATTACACGATTGTTGATTAGTTTTCCATTTTTTATCGAGCAGCGCTTTGGGGAGTTGGTTAGCGAGGGGAGAGATAGAGCGTTGGTTTTGTTGGGGATTGTGTTTGCGCTGTTTGTGAGGGTTAGGAAGATTTGGTGGATTGGGGGGTGTGGAGAGAGAGAGGCGAGGGGAATATTGGAGGTGTTGGGGGATGAATGGCGGGATGTGAAGGAGGAGATTGGGGATTTGATTAGAGAGGGTGAGGTGGATGTGTATGAGTTTATATGAATGTGATGATCACTGATGGAGTTGAGGAATCTTTATCGTGGTAATGACCAGAGAGTAGATAAATGGGGTGATGAAACTCTAAATCAAGCTTCGTAATATTGTTGTAGAGAGCCAACTGTGAATATTATCAATTAACTCGAGTGTATTCTTCAAAGCCGAACATGTCTCCATGTGTAGATGTATCCGAAAGCGAAGAACCATTTATGATCGATGCTCGTTCAGATATCTCATCCCCAACACCGAAAATGACAATGGCGGATGTTTTTCGACATTTCAAGGAAAGATTGCAAAGTGAACCGAGAGCGATACCGGTACATAGCATCAAACTCTATGTCAACTACTTCTTCTATCAAATTTTTGATACCCCGAGCGTTGAGTGTTAAACTTCCGAGACTTTTGTGTTAGATTGCCCAGGTGTCTTTGACAACTTCTCTGCGATACCTATCCTTGAATTGCGGTTCCTATAATATGAACAAATTATGAACTTGGATCAAGGGTGTGAAAAAAGAAACTAGAAAATTCTTCGTTCTACGCTGTCTTTCTTGCTTCTGAACGTTGGCGAAGAGAAACATGATGTACTGTAGACTCTTCGTATGAAGATTTCATCATGCGAAAGAGTTGGATCTTCGTACCAGTATCCTTTGCGAAGTTGTAGAGAAAAACCTCGGAGAAACATCTCTTTCCAGAATCCAGAGTCGACTGTATCGAAAAATGATATGAAAAGGGGTTTATCCGAATCAAAGGTAATATTACGTAGGTGGAAAATGTCAAATCCTAATTGAGCATGTAAGGTAGGAATTGTGGAGGGTAAATGTTGCCTACCTACCTAGTACTTTTCAATCAAAGGACAGCTTATCGGAGGAGTTCAGCTGAAGTAGATCCGGGTGATTGTCGGTAATTGTCGATGAAGTCCTAACCTACCTCGAGCCTGCAGCATCTTGGGATGAAGAGTTGTCGCTAGGAAGTACAGAGTGAGAGAGTGCATACTCCGATTTTGATCGACGTTCATTTTGTTGCAGTAGGGTGATGACCTTGTCTGGATTTTGACTGTAGACACATTTTTCACACGAAATGCAATCTCATCTCTGATCTCATCTCACACCCCTAGAACGTTAAATGACAGCAATCACGGTTCTTCATGAATCTAGAATGAAAATGAAAATATGTACCTTCAGATCTTACCTTCAGATCCAACTCCTCCGGTCCGCCGTTCACTCCACTCATCCACTCATCGCTCATCGACTTGACATGTTGCGTTCCCATCTAGACCAGCCCCAGCCTTACTTTCCAGACACATTCTATGCAACGCAACGCATTAGCGATCGACCGGACACTCGATCTTCACTGCCTCCACGCCCAACGGAGCCTTCTCCCACGCAGCAGCGAGTACCGAGATTGCCGACGTGGATCCGCGATCGGCACAAGGAATCCGATTCCAGCCAAACGCATCACATGACTGTACGATAACAGCTTAGTTCTCGCAGGCCTTGCGCGCAAGGCGAACATCAAAACTGCCAACGAGGCCTTGACGGGCAGGGAATCCCTAGCCCGGACCAGCCCAACGCCACTCGGATATTTTGTGCGAAAGCGGGAAGCGACGAATCAGAAGAGCAGAGGAGAGATCATGCACGATAATGAAGAGAGAATGGTTTGGGTCTCTGGATGGTCGGGATAGGTGAATCTGATGGAATCCGGGATCTAGATTTTGGGATCAACTTCCTTGGAATATACCTAGATTGTTCGGCGGAGGGAGAATCATTCGCGAGGGAAGTCGTCTCTGCGAATCATTCTTTGGGTAGGGCGACGGCGGGGATTCGTCAGGTCGAGTAGGGATTATCGTGTGCACATGTGACCGTGGCTGGGCTGAGATTTTCTTTTCCTTGGGGACCTTCTATTTTCGTATCCAGCCTGCGTCCAATGTTCGGATTGGTGGTATTCAGACCCTGGATTCCAATAAATGATGCGTTTATTATGATTGGGTTTGATTGCTATAGGTGCACATCGTCATGATGGGTCCACGCCTTGATATTTGATGGTAATTGAAGTTGTTTATGGTGAAGGGTAGGTTGGTGTGGAGACTGGAGTCAATGGCAGCTGGGTGGAGATGAAGATATATATATAGAGGGTAGGTACTCGGTCGGTGAAGAAGAAGTTTTTTTTTAGAATATATGAAAACGATTGACTTTATTATTTAATTGATTAATATTGCTATATCCTTCCAAGAGATATTTATTTACGATTGTGTTTAATCTTCTATTTATTTACAGAAATATATCTTCAAACACGCAAACAAACAGACATAGAAAGAAGATAAAATAAGCAGATAAAATGTGTTTATTCGGCAGTAAGATTCTCTCTTTCCATTCAATCCCAAGTTAATACATTTCGTTCCCAACCAAAATTCTTACTCCATTTTCTCCAAAAACCTCCGTGCTAACATACCTCCCCTTCACAGTCCCTAAAGACGAAGATATAGTCTTTGTTGATCGCCGGGCTCCCCGCCGTAAATCCACCCAAATAGTCCGCGAAAGACGTTCCCACTCATCTCGCCCCGTATCCCGCGTCTCAGAAACGGTCATCAGACAACACAGCCACCGACCTTCTACACCCATGTCCGAGGTTCACCGGCATTCCACCTCCATGACCGAGATTCACCGCGGGCCACCCAGCCATCGGCATTCTAGCTCCATGACGGAAATCCACCGTTCACACACTCCTGTTCCGCCGACCCCAAAGCCAGCTACTCCCGTTCCTCCTCCGGCGTCCGTTGCTCCACCACCTCCACCACCCCCGCCAGCTTCGGTAGGATTTCCTCCAGGATATGCCCCCGGATATCCTCCGCCTCCCATGTCGGTTGCGCCGCCCCCATCACATCATCATCACATACCCCCACCCTCACCATCTATCATGCCCCAAAGCCCAGCACCTTCATACCGCGATCTCTCACCTCCTCGCGTGCCTACTCCACCAGAAGAAAGCAGAGTCGAGTTAATAAAAGTGGAAGAAGAACACTGGCCGCCGCATTCCCATGGACGATCCAGTCCAAGCGCAATCCACGTTTCAAGGAGGAAGAGTAGGAAAGGGAGTGTTTCAAGCGGAAGAGATAGAGATAGGAGTGAGAGAGAGGAAATATATATCCAAAGAGATCGTATTATTGAGCGTGGTACCCCATCTCGGCATGCGTCTTCGAGTCCGAGCTCATTTGCAAGGAGAGGGAGTAGAGGAAGTGGTACCCCCGAACCAGTGCAGAGTGGATACCGTACGGTAGAGGGAACGGGATGGGATGATAGAAGACCTATTACGCCGAGTGGATATAGAGTTGTGGACGGTGCGGGAGCGAGGAGAGGAAGCGGGGTTGGAATAGTGAATATTCATCGAGAGAGAGAATGGGAGAGAGAAAAGGTATCACCCTCGGAATTTGGTGGAAGGAGGGGTAGTATTCCCTATGATAATGGATCGATTGGGAGACCGCGAAGTTCGGCGGGAAGATTTGCGGAGAGGGAGAGGGTGGTTATGGATGAGGGAGGGAGAAGAAGAGAGATGTATAGAAGGGCTTGAGGGGATGTGATGTAATTTTGTGGCGAGACATAATGTGTGATTATCTTGTGTGTGATCGCCCTCTCGGTTTCTTAATGGTGCGGCGATAGGATGAAGAAAGTTGGAATATTCTTCAATGCTTTTTTATACTTTTTAGATTGTACGCATATACTGCGCGAGCGATCAAGTGAAATTCTATTAAACATTTTACCAACTTTTTTATTTCTCTTTTATATATGTGTGTTAAAATGCTCGATACCATAGCATTCGGTATTCAATTCATTTCCATATCGAATCACTACCATCGGGAGTTCATATGTATCATACCCATTTCCATACGCTAGTGCTGTTCATGAGTGGATTTCAAGCGTGATAGCACAAGAATCCGCAAGTATAAGACACGAGGAACTCGGATTTTCTGAGATGTTGCGGAAAGGTATGATAGTATGCACACTCCGCTTCGTCAACTCCCGTTTCTTCTCTCAAGTATCCGCCTCTTTTGACAGGGTATGAGCTTTGTAATTTTTCTCAAACGTGAAAACAGAACTTTTAATGTAGTAACGAGAAATGTTGGTTAAGTTCCTCCTCATAAGATATTTTCACACAGAACGTTGAGCTATAAACCTGTCTTTTTCGTGACGTTAATCTTGGACAAGAAGGGCTCATGCTTTCGTCTTCAGTTGCTGAAACGGCGTGTAAGGTGTTATGAAGCATTGATTGAACCAGAAAATGGGAGAGTAAGAAAGGAGGCATGATGCAGAAAATGAAACAGGGGCATAATCGAAAGAACCTCATTCACCTGATATGTGAAGATTGAAAGCCTTCACTTGATTGGAGTGGATTCGACGATGAATATTCTACATCTTTTGTAATTCAAAAAGCTTTTGATTTTGATTTGTTCCGCTATTTGCACCTCGACCCCTTACTCATCATATAGAAATCATCCGTTCTTCCCTTCCAACTAAGTTTAGTCGCCAACCACCCAATATCCTGGCGATTGAGGAATGCAATATTTTCTGACTGATTGAATCTTTTTGGAGTGCAAGAGAGTGGGGTTGACTGGCGATGGTGATAACGGTGGCGTGGCTGCCATGAATCTGGACTATTTCAGTGATAATCTTTTTTTCTCTCAATAAACCGATTGAATCTGGACACCAAAAGATGAGATTCTGCTGTCAAACTCTTCATATGATGCTCAAGAATCACCGTTAGTAGGCTCTATTGCAGTCATTTCCGCAAAAAAGTCATGGATCTGCCCTGCGCTGCTCTGCGTCTGGTCTTCGGCTGCCTCTGTAGGCTCCTTACATTCTTCTCCTTCATTATGACGATGGAATTGGCAATCCTCGGATGACCATCTAGGCCCATCATCGTCCGCTGAAAGTGATGACTCACCAGGATTCGGAGGTGTCGCGTTCTGAGTGAAATCCTGGTAATATGCAAAAAATCTACAGAAGAAATTGTGATGATTCCTGCAAACGTTCCAAATCTGTGATAGTCTATCTTCGTCAGGAGTGACGTTGATTTTACTAGTGTCCCAATAAACCCAGGCTAACCGCTCAATGCAAAGTCTTCGAAGTGGCGATTTCTCTTCAGTCTCATTCCAAATATGATTGACCACATCCGGGTATAGATAGCAGGAAAAAACTTCACTGCCTCTCGATGTCCAAAAATTTTTTATTATGTTATCTGTGACAGTATTTCCCAAATCGTAAAGGCACCATTTCTCCGTTAACAAATAAAGCTTGATTAAAGTGTTGAAATGTGCGTGGGTTCTTCTGAACTCGATTTTGTCTCGATATAACCATTCAACGAACAATCCTACGGCATCTGCGCTGTCCCCTATCAAATAAATGATTTCTTCCCTAGCTTCTTTGAATGGTCCACGGAAAGCTTTTCGGAAATAGTCGCATGAGTCGCATATGAGTTTCTTGTGGACGGTAAATTCTTTTCTCTTGGGCCCGACGATGAGTTTGACAACTTCAGTGCCGAGAGTACTAGGAAAATACTGTCAGTGAATCTAAGTTCCTATCATTCTGGAAAAAACGGCTCACCCTTCGAAAGTAGGACTTTCAACGGGTGCTGGAGTACCTGCCAAAGTCGTAGAGGCCATGGTGTTGCGCGGTGTATGTAATATTGTCCCAAATCTGCAGCCAGCTGTTAGTGATCATCAGTCATAGAAGAAAAATGCTGTATTCATGCTTACAATATGGTAGATCGGAAGAGGTTCCTTACTCCCTTTCGACTTGATAACGAGATTGGAGAGAAATTCAGAGTGTATAAAATTCTGTGCGGCGACAATCTTATCAGAAGAACATTCTTCTGTAATGGGTGATTGTTGAGATAATTATTCTATGTTTGTTTGGTAATTGAAAAGGAAAGAGTGAAAGTGAGGTTGGAACCGGAGTGAATTTGGAAGTTCACTCATCCTCGCTTAGGTTTGAACGCAATGCTTCAATTTTCTTGCTTCAACACTGAGAAAGAGGTGGAGCCTGGAAGGACTTTCTCTAAGAGTCACCTAGTATTTGTTCAATCATATCACCAAAATCAACTAGATATAGATACTTCTTTCTTTTGTGGTTGAAAAGTTATATTTGTGTACTTGTCTATAATCTGACATTATGTAAGTACATTTGGCCAGGTTTTTATGCTCCTCCTTCCTGCAATTCCCCTCCAATTTGCAATCGGGACACACGTCATCTCGACCTTCATTCTCTCACAATACTTGGATTTATTGTGATAAGAAACGGTCGTAAAATTCCATAGTAGAAAACGCCATTAATGCCTTCTTTCCTCCATCGTTCCAATGCTGATTAACTCTGGGCTTTCTGATGAGAAACCCAGCCATATCCAATACATCAGCGGTGTCAACGATATATTTCACCTCTTCACATTTCCTTTGACCTTCACGATGGTCGTGAAAGTCACAACGGTCCCGATCTCTTTTCTCATGCCAAGAGATATTGTATTTATGTTGGAAATCGCAAGGCTTGCTGGGGTCAAAATCGGCTTGGATATCCTCGGCGATGTAATCTGGCATGCCGACAATAGAATGCAGTCTGTTGATAATAAGGAGTCCAATTACGCTTCCGTCCGTTGGGTCATCCAGATCTTCGCGAAATTCCCAGGCTAAGCATTGGATGCAGAGTTTTCTCATAGACGAGTTTGGTAGTGAGAGTTGCCAAATGGCAGAAATATCTTCATCGGAAAGTTTCCATGCATCTCGGTGTTCGAAGGGAATGATCGATCCTCTGAGAGCTAAGATGATGTCGGAAACATCGTTTGCAAGCTTTTCCGAACACCATTTGTCTGCGCTGATACGGAGCTCCCAGAAATTTCTAAATGTCTGGCTGGTGAAGTCGAGGTTTACTTTGGACTTTTGAAGCCATCCAACCAATAATCTAATGGCTTCGGGTTTCTCTTCTTCCAAATACATTTCCTTTTCTATACCCTCTCTGAAACTACCACGGAGAAAGGCTGTCCTGAAGTATTCAATAGAGTCGACGAGAAGGGCTTGGGAGATTGCGAATACTTCTTTCTCTGGGCCGACGATTAATACTACTGGGTCAGGATTTTTCCTAATTGGTTTCATTAGCATATTCAAGGGAGTATAAAACTTTGATTAAAGACCGGGTATGAAAGATATTCTATAGGTCGATGATAGGGAAGAATCAAGCTTACTTTCTCGAAGTCACAATCTTAAATTCTGCTCGCGGAGACATTTTCGATTCGCTTAGAATATTTAAGTCTGATTTATGTTGTTTAGAATGATGAGATAGAATTATATCTTATAATGGTATATATGTAGATAAAGATCTAAATATATCCAAGCTGAGTGAAGGTATGTACAGAATATCTTTGTGTGCATGTGTCTAGCAGTCTGTAATGTAAAAGAGAACTTTGGTCAGGGGGTGATGGATGAATATATACTCCAGCAATAAGGCTAAGTATTCGTGTCAAGTTTTCAAACTAGTAAGCCTAGGGCCTTGGATTTGACTATCAAATGGTTAGATATCACTAGGGAAATGACATTCGTGACAGAAAACGTTCTGAAAAGAACATTTACAAAGGCTTTGAGGCTTGTGACAGCCGATGAAGTTGAGTTTTTGACGCTAGTGTTTTTAGTATGGGGTAGTCAAGACCTAGCTTGGTCACTGAGAAGAACTACATCACTAATTTGTATCTAGCCCCGGTGCTTGGATCTGATAGCCTTATCACGTGAATATGAACATTGATAGTGTAAGAATCTCTGTTCATTCGTAGTTCAGAAAATTTCAGTGGTCAAAATGCATGTTCAATTCCGACTGGTTGAAGCATAATATTCGGGTGCAATGGTGGAGTTGGTGAACCAAGCGAGTATAAGTTGGCTTGGTGTGAAATATGATGAAGACTATTCGAAACATCACACTTTTAGAATGGCCCTTGAAAGTATTGGGCATTGATACTGATACGCAAGAATTCTCTTCATACTGTTGGTAACAAGTCGGGAGCCCCGTTAATCAGTATACGAAGGTTGTGGCATCAGCAAATCCTCTTAACTCATACTCTACCATATCTATAGATTCAAAACATAGGAGAAACTCCTTGATTACGTAAAATATACATGTGACTCTGGTGCAACTTCCATAATCAGAAGCTATAGCTGGGAAAAATTAAAGCTTTGGGATCCATGCAGCCCATCAAAAGTGCTGTCTTATGTTTGCTGCTTGACTATCTAAGCAGCCAAACAAAACCATCATGTCAATTTGAGATCACAATTACTTTTGATATTATCGTAAACCCTTGGAGCATAGTATTAGAAAGCTCACGTAACTGACTATGGATGATGGAAGGCAAATCTTCATATGTCTCTACAACTCTCGTCGTCTGTTAGTTGCGATCAACGTATTTTATCTAGCAGCTGCTATAATATTTCCATCTTTGATAATAGTTTTATGCTTCTAGCCAGTAAATATGCTCTAGGAACATTCCCTCCAAATTCTGCACTTAATGAAGCCATGCAGATGCACTTCAAAGAAACCTGATCCTCGAAACAACTCTAGTATTCGCCCCTGTTCCCAGTCTCCTCAATAAGCTTAACCTACGATCTATCAAGATGGCAGACTTCTCCTTCCGAATGTCGATGATAGGCACAAGGACTCGAATCGTTGAAATCAAATCCGAATGGTGGTGGATTGTCTGCTGCGTGTTTATGTAATTGAGTAAAGAAACTCGCATAAAGATCTTCGTGGTCTTTAAACAGCTGCCACAAAGAGATGAGCTCTTCAGTTTTCAGCGGGAATGTCTTTTTCTCGGGTGTACCGGATCCTTCATGGTCCCAAACATTGTAGACAAGTAGATGAATGAGCCATTTGCGTAAGGGCGATGTAGAAGACGTGTTTCTCCAGACGCCGTCCAGTTGCTCTAGACTACATTTGGGTAATGTATAAAGGTCATAATTCATCTCCTGTATTGCGTCCATAGTCTTATTTGCTACTTCGTTTAGGCACAACTTCTCAGAAAAGACGTAAAGTTTGAGAAATTGGTCGATATCCGTAAGCTTTGTTGCCCTCCTTACTTCTCCGCGATACAACCAATGAAGAAACAGCTCGAAAGCTTCAGGATCATCCTCTGGCATGTCCATACAGGAACTGTGGCTCTCTTGAAATCCGCCTACTGAGAAGGCCCCGCGAAAATAGTCCACAGACTCGCATAGCAGCTGCTTGTGCAGAGTGAACTTTTGCTTCTCCTTGCCTATAGTTATTGTAACTAGCTCATTGCCCAAAACTCTGAAGTATGTTAGTGAGGAGAGCTCATGGAAGTAACTGGTTTTGATCTTACTTTCCGAGGTTGAGCTCTGCCATGGATGACATGTCAATCAAAGACCATGCGCCAGAGTTCAGATAATAAGAAGCTTGAATAATAATTAATGTCGACACTTGAACTTCAGAAAGAAACAAGATTACCTATCTCAATGTAATTTAGGTTCTTGTACCATCAGAGTCGACGACTGCGGCTTAAGAGCTGGATAAACTGTGGTGAGAGAAGAGCTTCGAGGCGAACGACTTTCTTCTCAAGATGAAAATCGCGAAGTTCAGCCTTGTCCTCCAAATAAACTGACAGTCGATTCACTTTCGAAATGATATTTTTTTTCCAACCTACGAAAGAACTTAGGACATCGAATTTCCGCTTAGAGTTTCGAAATCACTTCAATTCTTTTCTTTCCGTTCATCCTGTTCCTTTCTCTCTTCCTCTTCCGCATCCACCTTTACTTGTGGTTGTTCACCTAGCAATATCCAAATATTTCATCAAAGCAATCGTGTATTCTCGGACAGACGATTGAGCCGTATCAACAGATAAATCCTACAAAGTTTCGGTTTCAAATCCAATCGTATCTACTGCAATCTGCCGCCACGATGGGTAATGCAAGTATTCCATCCACCTTGAGCAATCCATTGATCAACTCTAACATGGCCGATCAGCTTAATGAATACGCGAAAGAAGCTACCAAGCAGTGGAATGCATCTGCAGGAAATGCTTCACCCAAGAAACCCCAAAGCGCCAGTCAAAGCAATCGATCTGCCGTGCAATCGAAGTCAACAGCATTGATGAAGCTTGAACCAGATGTCTTGTTCACAGAGTCAGTATAAACTATTTCGACTCTTCCCCCGTCTTTGCCTTCGATCTAACTTTTTGTGTGCAGCACGATGGGAATGGAAACAATAATGTTAAAGGTTGGACCGTCTGATGACATACACGGCAATATGGTCTTTTCCATCCACAAGAATTTGTTAATCGCTTCTTCTCGTCGATTCGCAAAGATGTTGAGAGCAGGTGGTCCTTTGGATCGTAATCAAATGTATTCCATCCACGATACAAGTCCTGCTATCTTCAAATACTTTAATGAGTATCTCTACACTCGTCGCATTCCAGTCGTCAGTCACCGCATGTCTAAAGCTGAGCAAGGAACTCGAATCTTGGAGCTTTGTCAACTCTATGTTTTCGCGGAAATGTTTGAGATGGACAACACTTTTCTCAACAAGATCATTGATACAATTCAAGATGGTCTTGCTGTTAGTTCTACCCTTTTGACATTTAGTTTGGTGAGAAACATTCTTGAACACTCTCAGCCAGAGTCTCCACTTCGCAAGTTCTGCGCCGCAAATGCTCTTTATTCTGCCATGGTACCAGGTCTCGACACAACTGGATTCCAGTGGTTGATAAAGAACAGTGATGAGTTCTTTGCCGAATTCATGAAGATGCTCGTTAAGCTCACCAAGGGCACCGATCCTCGTATTCGCGATGCCAAGCAAGAATATGCGAAAGAAACCAAGATAAAGGAAGAGGAATTGGAGAACGGAGGAGTTGCTGTTGATGGTAGTCCTGTTGCTGTTCCTGTTGTTGGTCCAGGTGTTCATCCATGCCAATTCCATATTCATGGTCGATCAGGATCTGGTTCAGGAGCCGCTAATGGTACTGAAGATGACGAGATCTGCTACTTATTGGCTGATCTAGAAGTTTAGACAAAGCAAAGACGACTGGATATTGTCATGAGCACGCATTGAGGGTTCTCATGTTAATACACGGCGTTTCTGGAGTCTAAAGCGGTTGGGAAGGAGCAAACGACAACGTGCAAAAAGTAAAGCGGCGCTAGTGGATTTTTAAAATTTCAAAAATCAAAGGTAGCAGTGAGTTATCGGGAACATATCTGCTTCTTTCTTACATATCATACCATACGATGCATACAAACTATGAATGTATGATTCCGCTGATCATCTTGCTTTCATAACGTGAAATTTGAAGGCAAAAGTGGATGTAGAGGCGAATTATTTTCCATGGCATGCTAGTGAATTCCAATTTAATGATATTATTCTTAGAAATACAAGAATTTTAACAGATGAAATGAAGAATACTAAAACCACCCAGTCCCTTCATTTAGTCTATGGATTTATACAAATACTCCTTTATATCGCTCCATATGCCTGTCCTTTTCCCAATGCATGATACGCAAAAACCGTATTCTCCACAGGCTAATCCACATAAATATTGCCAGCTCTGATCTGCTAGTAATTGAACAGTGGGCCGCACTTTCCAACTTCTTCAGGGTCATCATGTTCATGAAATTCGCAACCATGTTCTCCAAATCTGCTACCTATGACAGTGGGATCAAACTCTCCCTCTGCTTTCCATTTCATACAAACAAACCGATAGTCTGGGAGGAATTCATCTAAATTTATTTCTTCATCATCAGTAGCTGCCTCGCATGCATAGGTTCGCGATATTACATCGATTCCAGGAATTACACCCTCCTCGGTACCTTTCTCTGATTCGTTTTTCATGGTGAAGAGAGCATACAGACGTAGGGGGCTGAATCTTTTCGTATTCATGTAGATTTCCTGGATCGTTTCGGGGGAGATAACAGAATATGCAGCAGCTTGAAGGTCTTGAATCTCGTCCATGATTTCGTTCATAAGTGGCTTTTCATCGACTAGCTCGACGGCGTAGTAAAGGTCGCGCAGATATTGAGCATGTTCTTCGAAAAGTTTTCGGCCTGCATGGCTTCGGAATGTATGAGTGGTATTGCTAATGAGGGGTGTGACAGTAAAGCGATCTAGGCATCCACTGTGTGCGTATGAACATAGAGAATCAAACATTTTTTGGGTCATGGCTGGGACTTCTAGAGGGTCACGTCTTAGTCGATGTGCTCTGAAGAACTTGAAGTGATCACAGAGAAGGCCTCTGTGGGAATCGAGCCTTATGCCACCTTTGCCGATTACGACAAACTGGTACATTGCTGTGAACAAGTTATCGTTCATGATACTGAAATCTAGTTTTAGTGTTTTATATTTGGCTACGTTGGTTCTCGGAAGGTGCTCATTCGATGGCCAAGTCTGAAGTGCCTTTGTGCGGTAGGTGTTGTGGTATTTGGCCTAGTCGACTGTGGGTATTGATGAAGTGAGAAATCGTTTCTTGATGTTGCTTCTGGCTTTGCTAGGGGTCTCGAGATCTCTGTAGAAATGGAGATTAAACTTGTGTCGGAGCTTGAAAGCTTGTAGCGGTGTTCAAAAGTGATGGTGTCTAAGATATATCTAAATGTCAAAAATAGTACTGAATTTTGAAAAATTGCAGTGAGATTCAAGTACAGGGGATATTTGAGGTGAAAATAAGAAAATGTTTAGCGGATCATGATGAAAATTACTCTGAGCCTAATCATGAGACTATGAGCGTTAGTTCGAGTCTGTAGTGTCCTAAAATATGAAGTCCTTGAACTCAAATGCTAGACCCAAGCTAAATGAAAGCTTGTCTTCGGATTTAGATCTCCATGGACTTCTAACTTTCAATTTTGTCATCCCAATGCCAAAAAAGCAATATCCACTGGTACTACTAACAAGGTTTTGGAATTAAGATATATGCTTTACCCATAGTACTCCAAATGATGGAATTGAGAAAGAAATATGTAAAAACCCCGCCATTTCGTCAATCACTAAGCAATTAAGGTTGAGCTAATGACGAGTTTGACAAGTAACTAACGAAATCTTGATAGAAAGAGTGGGTAGAATGCTGATTCTGTATGGATCTTAATATAGCTATCTTAAAAGACTACCATTAACATGAAGATGGTGCCCTAACATAACCTGTTGCTGTCGAATAACGCCGCAACTACAACGTTATCTACTTAGCATGTGTTCTCCAGATCCCAACAATCTCACCAAACTTTTCACTGTTTCTTGTAGCTCATAATTGAAGATCTGTATTACTGCATTCTTGATCAACGTGATCTTTCAACTCGTCATCATGTCGTTAGATCTAGGTAGTTGCAACGCCTAGCGCCAACCGAACCTTTTTAGGGCTGCAGATCAAAGGTTCATCATTTTGCCAAGGCGGTGAGGACAACTTACCGGATTCTTGAAGTCCTGGGAAAAGCAAACGCAATTGGAATTCACCAGACGAAAATCCTGGATATATTCACTGTGGCGGCGATGAATATCATTTTTATACGAGGCTGAAGCTACCTGCCTATGTAGGTGAATAGTATCAAAAGTCCCCACTCTCTCAAAAAGAAAATGAATTTCCAAGGGTCGCCATCGCTCACAGCTAAAGGCTGCATCTATCAACTGAAACACTGCAACCTTTTTACACCCAAAACGTTATCCACCATCTCGAAGGTCTTGAGGTAGAAGGCACGGCAGAGTTTTCTTGCTTCGAAAAGATTTAGTGATTCTCAAAGGTATGCAACATCAAATTATACCAAACCTCTGCTCATTTCTAATAAAGCTCAGGACATCCATGCTCAACTGCCACGATGAGTTCCACCTCTAGACCGCCTCTCATGACGCCCGAGTAAGTCATTTCTGTTGCTTTCCGCTTGCTATAATGAAAGCATGATTTTCATTTGACCTGTAACTAATCTTGAAATATCAGGGTACTCAACGAAACCGTCATTTTATATGTTGGACCCAAGAGAGAGAAGTACATTGTTCATAAAAAGGTGTTGTGCGACCAGTCAGAGTTCTTCAATGCCGGTTTCAACAAAGGTTTTGAAGAGGGATCCAATGGTGAAATGTATCTTCCTGAAGATGATCCTGCTGCCTGTGCTGATCTTATCGAATATTTATATCGCGGTACCCTTCCATATGCCGACGAAACGACCACTCGTCCCATGCTAGAACTTTACTGTCTAGCAGAAAAGATCTGCATGCCATTATTGATGGATGAACTTATGGATAAGATTATGGAAGTCCACATGATGAAGTACCCAGGAGGTTTTGCTGCAGGGCCGGTTCAATCTATTCACAATCATACTCATAGCACAAGTAAGCTTCGACTATACGCTTCGGCTATGTTGGCTTTCGCGATACATGTTGCAACTAAGGACCCAGAAAGAGCTATAGAAAATTACCTCCCACTCAACAAATCTTGCCCAGAGCTCTTCGTAGAGATTTTCCAGATTATTTCTACGCATAGAGCATTTTTCGTCAATTTAGGTAGTGCACCAAAAGCTGTTAAGGATGCTTTTGGACCATGCGGCTTTCATGTTCATAGTCCCGATGGTATCTGCTATAGGAACGCTAAGGGGTCCAAGACAACGGGGAACGAGAAGAATGACTTAAGCAGGCCATCTACATAAAAAGGGTCAGCACGTGTGATAGCTTTTCTTAGCTTCTATGCTTTTCCCCGCACTATCCGAAAAAAGAATTAACCTCCATTCAAATTCGTGTATTAATGATTAGGTAACGCTATTCAGATGATTGGGCGTCTTGGTCGTCAATTGCTCTTTAGGGCTACAATATCCAGACAATACATTATTTCGTCTAGCGCAAAATTCTTCTTCAATCCTGTGAAAAGATACACTGTCCCATCTTGCTAATTCCCATCCAAGACATGCAACTGAAAAACTGAAAATGAAAGCATATAGAAATTGGAACAACATTTATGTATGAATAACTTTGCCACATCAGTCATATTCTATGCATACACCTCACACATCTCTACCCTGTCCTTGTTTTGTGTTTTGTGTTCTGTCTTATTACACAATATTATGTGTATGATTTGTTTCATTCTCAACTGCACGAATTGTATGTCCCACGGCTAGCTGTCTCGGCTCTGAAGTATGTGAAGCTTATATTGCCTTCACCTTCTAACATTCGAAATGATGAATCAGTAGGATCCAATGGTCCTTCAAATTTATAGAAAAACACCAGATCTCTTCTTTTTTGTTACCCTAAATCCATAGAACTATCGCTCGCAGTGGTGATAGTCCTTCAGTAGTCCTCAAGTCTGCTTACACAATCATTAGTAGGTCCGCTCTGAATCAGAGCTATCAAAGCCCCGAACTCTCAAATATATAGTAAGAGATATAGCCCTGATTTCATTTGAAGGGGAATGGTTTGACTTACTCCCTATAAAGTCGATGCAATGACGTAACTATCCGTTTCATCGGTTACAGCTCTTTATTCTCCAAAATCCCAACTTCACTTCAAAATGAAAGCTTTTTTCTTATTTGTCGGATAATATTGAAATAGCTATTCCGTTGTGCAATGGTTCAGAGATCAAGATGTGTAGAGAGAATGAATGAAATTTCAAATGCTTGTGTGTTAGGACGTGTAGTTCGTGTCTTGAAATGAGGCTCGCTAGAGGACTTCTGACAAATGAGGATATGGGTGCCCATAGGATTGGTTGGCTTTACATGATCGTTGGTTTCTTGTCTGGTAAAGTCAATTACATTCTATATGATAGGATCTGGACTGATCGGAGAGGCTCTAAATATCTACAAGGCAATAGTGAGAGTGATATTCATATGATTGGACCAGATAGAGGGTGTAGACGGATCCCTCTCCCAATAGCCCCCTTTGGCAATAAATAGATTGGAAAACATATGAATCTATTGATTTAGTATTAATTATCATAGATTTGGTGGATATCTATCATCTTCGCTATTGTTCATAGAAATTACTCTTTACTGTAGTACTACAAATAGTACTGCAAAGCGACTATTGCATAGCCAACTACTCCCTCACCTTCAAATGCTGATGTGTCCTTTCTGTCGGGAAAGGATATATCAAGTACAATTAGTTAGGGGTTTATTGTACCTATTGCTCTGAATCCTGGCTGAATACCTTTTTTTTTCAACTCCCATTCTTTCTTTTTTTCATTGTCCTCGTCACATAAAGAAGGGAGCGGGGCTCTCAACATCTCCCTTAGTACCTATCAAAGGCGTTATTATCTGATATCAATATATTATAAAGATCATATAAATGAATAACTATATAATATCACCTACTATAACCCGTGATCTCTCATAGCGTACAAAAAAATCTTCTGCAAAAGCTCCGACACGAAAATGGTTTCACAGAATTTGAAACAATGATTGTGATTAGGTAGAAGTTTTGATTATCATGGCTATAAAATCATATTACCACCGTGTTTTCCCATCTTGAAGTACGAATTGAGTGTTCTCGAACTCGGATATAAATCAATGTTGTCAAAGAAGAGGAAGATTATCTTCCCTTTGTTCCACACTCGATGGCCTTTGATTTCTGACGAACCAACCCAACAAGGAAATGTTTACAAAGAACCTAATTCCTTTTCAAAATCATCACCATTGAATTGTTGATAATCAAATACATCTCAAGAGCTTTGGTAGTTTATCGAATATACTAGTAACGCAATGTCCAACCCAGCTCCCATTCTAAGCATCGAAAAGCACTTTCGTTACGCTTTGACACCTAAAGAGAGTCAATTCAATGAATACTTCAAAGAATGGCAGACGAGAGAGCCGCTATGGAAAAATCGTCTAGGGGATGGTTGGGTGATATCAAAAACTTTGGGTGCGGGCGCAGGGGGTGGGGTTTCACTTGTGAGTAGAATCTTTGCAGGCAGAATCAATTCCTAGAACTAGAGAATGAATTCCATACCAAGGCATTTGACTAATATTTTCTTTTTTGATAGTGGGAGTGGCGTGGTGATCCAAAGGCAAAGAATGCACCGAAATTAAAGCAAGTGGTTGTCAAACTTGTGTACGATGGCTATGAGGTATATCCAGACTCCTATACTGGTCTGCGAGGGGAAGCGGCTTTCTTAGACTTGTTGAGAAAGATTCCAACGAAGCACATTGTTCATATGTACGGCCCCCCTAAAATGGATGACAGAGGACATGTAATGTATTTTCTCGAAATGTGCCCCGGCGGCGCTTTATCATCCTTACTGGATATACACATCGAGAAGGAGATGAGGTTTCCTGTCTCGGAAACTGATATGTGGTCGATTTTTTATTGTTTGGCTCAAGCTGTAACAGTTTTGGATCGTGGAACAGAAGATCTCAGCAAGAACGGGTGGGATAGAGACGAGATTGGTCATTATGATATGATCACAAGCAATGGTAACTATTCAATTCGTCTTAAAGATGTTGAGCGCTAATAACAAATTTTCTTCAAGTACTTATTGGGTATTGCGATAAAGTGCATAAGCGCTGCCCTGTTGTAAAGGTATGTACAAGTATATTGTGTAATCAAATAAAGCTAGATGCACTAACCAAGGTGATTAATGACAGATTGGGGATTTTGGAGATGCAATGGAAGTCAGAAGATTAGATCTTCAGACCGATGACACTGCCAAGATAGATAGACAAGAGAGGGGTGCCATAGCATGTCGACCTCCTGTGAGAATTTTTGACATCAAATTTTTGAAAGCAAAATGAACTAATACTTCAAATAGGAACAAAGAAAAGTTGATGTTGATCATCCCCGCCACGGAACTTGCTCTAACGTTTACATGGTTGGACTCATCATGCTAGGCCTACTAGACAGCCAAGTATCTGTTTTTATGCCCTCCCAAGGTTACGTGGTGAATTATAATCAGAGGCTTAGAAGCGGTGTAAATATGGCATATTATCTTGAAGATGAAAAGGATATCAAAAATGCATATTCACAAATGCTCAGAGCATTGATTATGGAATGTTGTATGAAAGAGCCGCTACTACGACCTAAAGCAGTTGAGCTGCAAGAAAGAACCGGAATGATGTTTCGACTGGTCCAAGATGAGTTGATAGCGGATACTCTTGGAAATCATACCTGTGCTGGTTTGGGAACCGAAAATATTTTACTGGAGGACTTGGAACCGCCTAAAGAATGGCTGATATGAGGATCACTTGTAATTGAGACTTTAGACGTTGTCCTGCTTGTTTTCTGTTGCTGCAATCGTGCCAAAGCTTTTTTATTGCCTTTTTACACATGATCGAAAATGCGAACAACTTAATATCTGGATTTACTTTATCTACATATGAGCTTTCAATAGAAAAACTAAACTTTGATATGATTGTATAGTATAGCTTCCGACAGTATGAACTGACCTACTGATAGTTAATGATAAGTTTCTTATGTTCTTCGATAGCTTAAAACCCTACCAATGACTACTCGGCAGAATTGCAATAAAATCCTGTCATCCTACTCGTTGTATACCTTTTTAATTACTATGATTTTTGTGCTGGTTAAGATACGCAACTAACCATTCAAGATCGTGCATCCGGATCTTGTAGTCTTGTGGTCAGTTAGAAATTGATAAACGTCAGCACCAGAGCCTGCGAACTACTATTTGATGCATGCGACCCTGACACGACTGATACATGCACCATATAGTACACAATTCGACAAAACTTGACTAACAAACCACTCGACCATCTTCTCGGATAGCTTACTTCAACTGGGCACCGAGAGAATCAAAGACCAAAAGTCACAGCGAATTTTAGATTTTAATAGAAGAATGCACATGTTGTATTCAAGGGAGTGTGTTGCCGTAGCGAGATGTAACACTAATCTTTCATGACGAGATATGCTCATAGATCGTAGCGAAGAAATGTCGCAATTAGAAGTATAACTTTGGAGACTATCGGAATTCCAAATCACATGAAATGAAGTTCTTGGCCTAAATGTCAATAGATAAATGATCTATAGCTGCTGATCTCAACTACTCGATTTAGTGACTTCATTCTCGCTTACATCCTATCCTTACTTTGACGTTCCGTCATGCATTACCGAGCACCTGTACGAACATATATAACTGACGAGATGAGATTTGTCTGTAGAGACTGACCTGACGAAAAGGCGTAGATTCTGTATGAGTAGATGACGACAAAGCTGAAGATGAAACATGAAGCGTTTCTTTCCAAAAATATTAATTAGATGGTAGCAACAAAAAACAAGCCGTTGAAGTACTTCGAAAACATGACGGCAGATTAGATGAGACAGTCCAAGTATGAAATGAAACACATCGATGCTGCAGACTCACGATAAATACCTGATCAGCCAACCTAATTCTGCAAAACTGAGCAAAACGCATCCATCACTTTGAATACCATCCCAAACCCCAAGATCCACGGTACTTCAATAAAAATATGGAGACGACGACAGTATTCTGGGCAAAGCTTATCGTACTATCACCTTCGCCTACATTCATCTTACTCGTGTATTTGGCCAACATACCTAGGCAACCTTGTTTCATCTCGAAGATTCACTCCAACTTCTCTTCTCTTCACTTCTAAATCCCATCCCATTCCGCTTTCCACCCTTTTCAGTTCCGCATGTGATCAACTGGAATAAAAATTAAATTTCGTAGTACAAGAAAACGCACGCT